AGGATTCCATTTGGCTGCAAGATGCCATTTCATGACCAACTAATGTTTGTTTTTGGAGACAGCTTGCGCTTGAAATTTCATGAGAGCCACTCTTGAAAATTCTGGGCAATACCGAATATTGATTTTTGATAAAACCAATCTCTCAATATTGAAACTCAGAAAATTTCATGGCACGCCTGGAATTCAAATGCTTTTCATGGTGCGCTTGGTTTTTTTCAATCTTAGAGGGTTTGGGTTCCAGTCGCCTTTCAAGCCGACGACCTCGCAGAAGAGCTGCTCCCCATCGTGGTGGACCCCTTTTTGGGCGAGTGTGCAAAGTGATCTGACCACGCACTTGATGGCCTCCTGGAGCGTCACACTGATTTGCCCACGGATAACGTAATGAGTCTTGGGGGATCACAAGGTGATGACGTGTCGGCTGAATACCGAGTCAGAAGCTGCAGGGCACACAGCGCTCTGCCAAGTTAGAACCATCCAGCTCGTGCCAATGGCATTAGCTTCGTCACCGTAGAGCAGGAGTGGCAAAGCAGCTTTGTGAGCCGGCGCGCGCCCTAGGCGCTCCCAGTACTCTTCAGGCAGCTCGCCAAGGATGGCGCGAAAACCAGTTCGTAGCAGCGCGGGCCTCAGGAAGAGACGTCGCGCGCACGGTCAGCAGGCACTACAAGGCCCCAGCAAACTCATGCGGCAACAGGAATGGCCATCTTTGCGCTGGACGACACAACGGCAAACCAAGCGCCCCGACATGCTCCGATTGCCAAAACCGCGCGTTGGAAATTGAAGGTTATACCAAACGGCCCTGGTCAGGAAAAAGCTCACTGCTCATAGCCCCTGGCGTTCGAAAAGCAAATTGGCACGACTTGCGCAAATCAGAGAGAGCCAGGCCAGCAAGGCTTGCAAAGCTCAGCCAGCACCGCGCGAACCTGTACTTTGACCATGCGGACGTCCACTGTCACAACCTCGCAAAAGGCGAGTCAATCGAAACGTGAGGTGCGGCGAAGCAAACGGCCTTCTGCGTGACCAGCTTCACCGCCTTCTGAAGGCCTGTTTCGTCCCGGATGCCCACTCAGCTGGAGCATCAAATTTGGCTACAACGCTCTATTCGGATTGTGCGCCAAGCCTGTTGAAGGCGTCAGTCAGGTCTTTGTGACAGCCCTTGAGGTCTTTCACAAAGTCACTGCCTTTCGACACGCGGTGCACACCTTCGTGATTTTTGAGTCAGGCGCGGATCACAGCAACCTTGTCCTCCAGCAACTTCTTGCCCTCCAGACGAATGATCTGCTTGTCGCCCGTGGACTTCGGGCCACTCTTGGCCTTCGCTTTTACCGTCATTGCGACGACGGGTCAGCACCTGCTGCGCCAAGCTATAGCTTTGGAAGACGGGTCCACGTACAGGTTTGTACACAACTTTTACAAAGAAGAATCCCTGTCGGCGAGAGGACAAGACCCCTGATTTTTTTTGCAAAGAGCTTTGAGCACAGAGAATCTCAGACATGCGTGTCAAACATCAAGAGTGCGAGGTCATGCGTGAGCCATGCCATCAAACCATGAGTGGGCAAGCTACCAAGATATGCGTGGCCAAGCCATGCATGAAGCCATGCGTGGTCAAGAGTGAATGACAAGACATGCGTGTTCAAGCCACAAAGCTACACGTGGTCAAACTACCAAACATGCGTGGTCAAGAGTGGTCAGCCATGCGTGGTTCAAGGAACAAGACATGCGTGGTCAAGCCATCAAACTCGCACAAAACCAAGACAGATCAAAGGCCAATCTACAGGTGAAGGGAAAAACGGCCCAGCCTGCGTTGCCTGCGTTGGCCGAGCCCTAAACGAACTCCATCACAGCATCAATTGCTGGCGCGCTGGCGCTTGGGACACGAGGGGCTCAAGCCGAGGTGGGGCTGCCAAGTAGGTGGACAGGGCATCCTGCGCATCAACCTCACCTTGCAGGGTGGCAGAGTGTTCCACGGACTCCGTGCGGCTGCAGCTCGTTTGCACCCAACACTGCATGTCAGCCGCGATAGTGGGAGCGTCAAGATCTGGCACTCCCCCTCCCTTCCTGACAATGGCTTGCACCTTGGTCCTGGGCTGCGCCGTTAGTGCCAAACATGTGCGCAGATCTGTCTGATCAGGCAGAATGGCAAGCAAGCGGCTCCGACATGCCTCTGGCGCGCATCTGGGCCACCGTGAGCAATTCGCTCTTCCGCTCGTGGGCCTGGCTGGGCTTGGCCTGCAAAGGGCGCGGCCTCCGTGAGCTCAGCGTTCTCGCCAAGAGGTCATTTTTGGCGTCCGGCTGCCAGTTGCAAACATGGCACTCATCTGCGGAAAGCGTGGCGCTCGGCCACCTTTAGCCAGGCGCTGCAGCCTCATGTAAGCGGAGCGGTTCGTCGATGACGATGTTCTGCGCAGGGGCCTGGCCTGACTGAGTTTTGGCGGATGGCGACTGGAGATGCGGATCCGCGGCACTTTGTGTGACAAGCTTTTTAGTCCGCGCGGCCACAGCGGCCACGGTTTTTTCAAAGCCTTCAAAGGCTTCCCACTCTTATCCACGGCCTTGGCCTGGGTCTCGGGCTGCTGGCTGTCCTCATCCTGGACGGGCGGGGGCAACTTCCAGCGCCTTCTTCTTGGCTTTGACTTGCCGCAAGCTTTTGGTTTGGCGGCTTGCTTGGCCTTTGCTTTGGCCGGCTTCTGCTTCTTTGCGGGCTTCTGCTCCTGAAGCTGAGGACCATCAGCAGGCGGCTTCCTCGCGCCAGCCAACATCTGCTCGCACTGGCTTACTGGGAGGCCAGTGGCCTCAGGCAAGGCGTCAGCGGTCGATAGCGGTCGGTAGCTCCAGCTGCTTTCAAAGCCTGCAGGCCTCCATGGCAGCTACGACTGGCAACTGCTACGAACAAAAGGCTTGAGAGCTGGTATGGAAATATGTGCAAAATGAATTCACGAAATTCACGGGCAGATATTGCCTTTTGGGGGTCAGATAACGCCGAAATCACAGATTTTCACGCCAAGAGTTTTCGAAGATCAAGCTGCCAAATTCTTGCAGGCAAAGTGCAGGCTACTGAGCAGACTCTATACACTTCTTTGCGGCTGATTGCAGCAATCCATCCCAAGCACCTGGAGGGTGCAGCTTGCTGGATTTCAGCAAATACTTCATTAAATTACATCTTCCAAGTTGGCCTTCGTGCAGGGCCCGAAGACAGGCTAGCAGCAATCAAGCAACCAAGGCCTCTGACCAGACCTCGTGAGCAAACTTGAAGTCACAAGCCAAGCAAGGCCAGCAGCGAGGGCGCCCAAATCAAATGGCACGCCTGAAACAGTTCGAGGTCTGTTCTTGTCATGTCCACTTGCACTGGCCGGACAGAAGCTAAAAGCGCCCGACAGGCGCACGGCGCACGCGCGGCTGTGCGCTCGAAGCCTGCGAGTGGGCTGCGAGGGCTTTGCTGGACGAGGTCCTGTATCTTTTAGCGATTCCGAAGCAACTGGAACTTGCTCGAACTTGCTTTAGCCTTCTTTGAGTACGCTTGCCAAGCCTTGCCCTTTGAAGTCACCCCAAACGCGCACGCAGGAACATGTTCTGCTCTTGATTTACACGTGCCAATTATTGCTTCTAAGGAGGGGGGGTTCCTGCTCTAACCTCTTTTTTTTTCTGGGGGCGACTAATCCGGAAGGATGGTGAGGGTCGCTTCTCTTTGCCAGGTCTGCCCTCCAACTCGATTCGTTTCGTTTTGGTTCGCCGGGTCGGCATGCTCGTGTCGATCCGTTTCCGGGAATCGTGTGGCCGTTTCGCGCCGGTTCCGGTTCGGCGCGATTCGCACGAACCGATTCGGACCATTTCCGCGAGCTTCCTGTGTGTTGTGTTGTGTTGTGTTGTGTTGTGTTGTGTTGTGTTGCATTGTGTGTGTGTGTGTGTTGTGTTGTGTTGTGTTGTGTTGTGTTGTGTTGTGTTGTGTTGTGTTGTGTTGTGTTGTGTTGTGTTGTGTTGTGTGTGTTGTTTGTGTTGTGTTGCATTGTGTGTGTGGTGTGTGTGTTGTTTGTGTTGTTTGATTGTTTATGTGAGGAGCTGCGTTGTTTGTGTTGTGTGTGTTGTTTGTGTTGTGTGTTTGCTTGTTGTTGTTTGTGTTGTGTGTGTGTGTTGTGTGTGTGGTGTTTGTGTTGTGTGTGGTGTTTGTGTTGTGTGTGTGTTGTGTGTGTGTGTGTGTGTGTTTGTTTGTGTTATGTGTGTGGGCGCTTTTGTTTGTGTTGTGTGCGTTGTTTGTGTTGCGTGTGTGCTATTTGTGTTGTGTGTGTTGTTTGTATTGTGTGTGGGGTTTGTGTCGTGTGTTGTGTTTGTGTTGTGTCATGTGCCTGTGTGTTTGTTGTGTGTCTGTGTTGCGTTTGTAGTTTTTGTTTGTTGTTTGGTTGTTTGCTTGTGAATTGTGCTGTTGGTGGTGTTGTCGGTGGTGCTGCTGCTGCTGCTGCTGCTGCTGCTGCTGCTGCTGCTGCTGCTGCTGCTGCCTGTGCTGTTGTTGTTGTTGTTGTTGTTGTTGTTGTTGTTGTTGTTGTTGTTGTTGTTGTTGTTGTTGTTGTTGTTGTTGTTGTTGTTGTTGTTGTTGTGGTCGTCGTCGTCGTCGTCGTCGTCGTCGTTGTCGTTGTCGTTGTCGTTGTCGTTGTCGTTGTCGCTGTCGCTGTCGCTGTCGCTGTCGTTGTCGTTGTCGTTGTCGTTGTCGTTGTTGGTGGTGGTGGTGGTGGTGGTGGTGGTGGTGGTGGTGGTGGTGTTGTTGGTGGTGTGGGTGGTGTGGGTGGTGTTGTTTGTGTTGTTGGTGGTGTGGCTGGTGTTGTTGGTGGTGTTGTTGGTGTTGTTGGTGGTGTTGTCGGTGGTGTGGGTGGTGTTGTGGGTGGTGTGGGTGGTGTTGTTGGTGGTGTTGTTGGTGGTGTGGGTGGTGTTGTTGCTTCTTGTTGGGCACTTGTTGGGTCACAAGCCCCACGTTCGACGCAACGAACTTGACTGCTCAGTCAACCCCATCGCAGGCCCTCACCACCTTCCGCGGCGGCATCGTCATGATCGAGCCCAAGACTGACTTCGTGGAGCGCATTTGCAATGAGAAGTGGGTCGTCGAGGAGCCCCGTTTGCCATATTCTGATGGGGCCGGCACGCTTTGTTTCGCCCAAGAGGATGCTGTCACAGTCAAAATGCCGGGAGGGTTTCTGGGGTGGCAGTCATGACAAGGTTCACAGATTTCAAGTCTTCACGAATCCCAGGGCAGCTTGCAGTTTTGGGCCCCTGGAAATCCAGGCGTGTCGCAGGACGGGAAAATGATGGTGGAGAAGATGAACAACGGCGTGAAGCGGCAGGCATGAGCGAGGTGAGCCGCCCGAACCAGCTGGCGGAAGCCGGACAGGGTGTCCAAGAGAGACTGGATAGCTTCTTGGGTTGCAACAAAGACCTGTCCTTTTATGAAAACTGTTTGTGATGGGTCGATTAACTAATGATTAGGGCAACAGACACTCGACGGCAGATGATATTAGGGGCGCCAGCGCTAGCACCATGTCAACCTGGCAGTTGGTCGGAACGGCTCTGTTCGGCTGGTTATTTGGGCCCGCCCCTTGCCGCCCAATTTGCGCAAGCAATTTGGTCCTCTTAGGCCCTTCATTGCAGGCGAACCGTTCTCACTCAGTACAAGGGGAGTTGATGGCCTAGCTGCGGATTTCTATGAAAGGCAGTTTCCCTCACCATACTGTACCTTCCCTGAGTTGAGCTAGCGAAACGCGCGGAGCAGCTTCACCCATGCCCGGTTCCCTCCCTCGGTTCCGAGTTTCCCTAATCCAGCGACTGGCTGTTGCACCCACGCGCGAGCCGCCCGCTCTCGGGGTCAAGGAGTCCTTGCCCATGTGGTGGTCGAAGGTTGCCAGTGGCCCACTGGTTTTCAGGCGGGTCGTTTCCTATCAACCTCCGCTAAAGAGAGTCCGTGTTTGCCCTTTGGTTTCCCAGTTGCTTTCAATGTGAGTCATCCCAGTAAGCGACAGAAAAATCTCCCACGACTCTCCCATGACGGTTTTACCGGCCACAGAGAACGGGGGACACATCAAGGGCAAGGCTGTGGAGGTCTGTGGGCATCGGGGTTTGGCAAGTTTGCAGGCCTTTAACTGTTTCTTTTGCTTGTCAGCTAATGGTTGTCCATCCGCGACCCGAGAATTCGGTTTAACATTCAGAACTTTGAAACATTGGGCCACCTCACCCAACATCCTGGCCAAAAGCCTTAGCTGGTAACTCTTCCCCATTGTCCGAGATTGCAGGCATGGCTCTTTCGGCAAAGATGGGACATGGCTCTGGGAGGCATGCGATTGACGAATGCTTGATGGATGCTGTTTGTTTCTGACCGATTTTGGGCCGGGCCTCCCTGAGCCCCGATTCCCGAGTCCGATTCCGGCGCCAGAGCTGAACAAAAATTCGCCAGAGCTGGCCCCACTGCGTTTCGGTTTCAGCCGCGATGGCCAGCGAGCCGCGGGCTTCGCGAAAAACGCTCGCGCGCGGCGTGATGAATAGACGAACAGTCGGTGAGGTTTGTCCCCAAATGCGGAGGGTTTTAAGAATCCCCCAAAAGAGGTACACTCAAAAAGGACGCACCTAGTAATTAACATTATTTTAACACCTCCGGCTCAGGCCGCCGACATTACAGGCCTGCTTTCTTATTTGTGTCCCTTTGGAATTGTCCCCTTGCCCCCCTTCCCCTCTAAGATTTTTGCCCCCCTTTCCCTGTTGAGATCCATTCCCCCTTTCCCCCCTAAGGCCCTTTCTCCCTCTGAGATTTTTCCCTTTTCCTCCCTAAGATGTTTTCCCCCCTCTATTTGTTGAGATCCTTTCCCCCCTTTCCCCTCTAACCCCCTTTCCCCCCGAAGGCCTTTTCCCCCCGTGAGATCTTTTCCCTTTCCTCCCTGAGATCTTTCCCCCCCTTTCCCTGTTGAGATCCTTTCCCCCCTTTCCCCCCTAAGGCCTTTCCCCTTGCTGAGATCTTCTCCCTGTTCATCCCTAAGATCCTTTGCCCCCTTTTTTGTTGAGATCCTTTCCCCCCTTCCCCCTAAGGCCAGATCTTCTCCCTTTTCCTTCCTAATATTTTTTCCACCCTTCCCCTGTTGAGATCCTTCCCACCCTTTCCCCCCTAAGGCCTTTTTTTCCCCCCGCGATCTTCCCCCTTTGCCTTCCTAAGATCTTTTCCCCCCTTTCCTTGTTGAGATCCTTTCCCCCCCTTCCCCCCCTAAGGCCTTTTCCCCCCAACATCTTCTCCCTTTTCCTTTTCTAAGGATGTTTTCCCCCCTTTCCCTGTTGAGATCCTTTCCCCCCCTTTCCCCCCTAAGGCCTTTTTATCTGAGATCTTCTCCCTTTTCCTCCCCAAGATCTTTTCCCCCAGTTGAGATCCTTTCCCCCTTTCCCCCCGAGATGTTCTTCTCCCTTTGAGATCCTTCCCCCCCCTTTCCCCCCTAAGGCCTTTTCAGATCTTCTCCCTTTTCCTCCCTAAGATCCTTTGCCCCCTTTCCCTGTTGAGATCCCTTCCCCCTTTCCCCCCTAAGGCCTTTCCCCCCCTGGGATCTTAAGGCCTTTTCCCCCCCGAGATCTTCTCGCTTTTCGATCCTTTCCCCCCCTGTCCCCCCCAAGGCCTTTTCCCCCCCTGAGATCATATCCCTTTTCCTCCTTTTTCCTCCCTAAGATGTTTTCCCCCCATTCCCTGTTGAGATCCTTTCCCCCCTTTCCCCCCTAAGGCCTTTTCCCCCCTGAGATGTTCTCCCTTTTCCTCCCTAAGAGCTTTTCCCACCTTTCTTTATCGAGATCCTTTCCCCCCTGTCACCCCTAAGGCCTTTTCCCACCCTGAGTTCTTCTCCCTTTTCCTCCCTAAGATCTTTTCCCCCCTTTCCCGCATTTTTCTTTCTTGAGATCCTTTCCCCCCTGTCCCCCCTAAGGCCTTTTCCCACCCTGAGTTCTTCTCCCTGTTCCTCCCTGAGATCTTTTCCCCCCTTTCCCGCTTAAGATCCTTTCCCCCGTTTCCCCCCTAAGGCCTTTTCCCCCCCCAAAGTCTTTTTCCCCCTTTCCCGTTTGAGATCCTGTCCCCCCATTGCCCTCTAGGGCCTGTTCCCCCCGAGAAAGATTTCCCTTTTCCTCCCAAAGATCTTTTCCCCCCTTTCCCCCCTAAGGCATTTTTTCCCCAGATCTTCTCCCTTTCCTCCCTGAGATCTTTCCCCCCCTTTCCCTGTTGAGATCCTTTCCCCCCTTTCCCCCCTTCATTTCCAGGTGTTCCTTCACCAGCATGGGCAACATCCCCAGCATCACTTGCATCATCCGCATCATTGGCAGGCGCTGATGCGGATGATGCAGGTGATGCTGGCGATGTGCCGCTGAAAATGCTAAGGATGCGAAAGCGGACCAGGGGGGAATCAAACACCCCAATGTTTTTGACAAACTGAGTTGCGCAAGCCCGCGCAATGAACAGATTTAGTGAAGCATCTTCGAATCACCGCGTGGTACGTGGACCCCCCACCCGCAATGGTGCCCCTGGGGAGGGGTTAGGGGAGGGGTAACAGGTAAAGAGGTAAGGAGCATTTCTTATGTCCAACACGCCGTCTGTTGTCGGCGGACTTAAGTTTTTTATACATTGTTGACGTTTATGTTCAACTCTCAACATGTTTACATGTTCAATGGCTGTTCTTCTTGACTGCTCAAACAAGTGTTTGAACTCCAAGGGTATTCAGCACCACCCCCCCCCCCCCCCCCCCCAGTCACCCATTTGCAAGCAGGGCAGAGGAAGAAAGGGACGGAAAGAAGAGTCGTTGAGCAGGTGGCAGAAGAGTTGATCCTTTTTTGTGTGGACCCCGCAAAATGGCAGGTGTTCCTTTTGGTTTCCCTTTAAAGCCAGAGAACCTGAGGCAACAAAACAGACCCACATAGCAAAAGCTGCCAAGACTGTGGTTTGTGCGGCAGTCATGCTTTGATAGTACTTCGTTGTAGGGATCCTTTCTGAATACATCACGCTCACCCATTTACCTGCCCAGACTTTGAGGCAACTCGTGCGGCAGTTCGCGCATTGGTGATTGAATTTGGACCAACCATGGAACAAAGTGGACCCTAAGGCGACGTTTGATTCTGTATGACAAAAGCGCGGGAGGAATTGGTCAGAGCTTGAGATCAGAGGGGCCAAGTCTCAAGCTTCAAGTATAGCTCAAGCCACTGGCCTTCACAGGGATGGAAGACAAGGAAAGGTCGGGGATTGAGTGCGGCACTGTTGAAATGGAAGTCCACATGGGCCTTTAAAATCTCCAAATGTTTGTACATTTGTGTGTGTGGACAGTTTGATCGGTTTGGCTACAACTCTTCGTCGAGTCGCGGCTTCCTCTCAAAACATCCCGGATTGAATGAGTCACCCCTCATTCCCGCGGAACGCTCAGAAGCTTCAACCAACCAACCAGCCAGGCAGCCAGCCAACCCTCAGAAGTTTCAAGCTGAGAAGCGCTTGCCTGTTTTTTCGCGTGTCAGAGCCCCCGCAGGCATCATCGGTGCAGAGCTCTGGCAAGCACCCCTTCCTTGGCTGCTGAGCGAAATGCAAAGAAGGTCCTGCTATGCCTCATGTGTGCAGAAGTGTGTATGTGTGGGTGTGTGTGTGTGTGTTTGTGTGTGTGTACCTTCTTGCCAGAAAAATTGGAAGCTGTTAGAAGGGTTGTGGATGACTATAGTCCTCTTGAGACGTGTCCGTGCTTGTTGGAAAGCGGGTGCATGTCTACTATCACCCAGTTGGAAGGTTGAGCAGGACGTTGATAGATGTTTGTCGGAATTTTGCCTGCCTCGGAAAGATGTTGCAAGCGTAGCAAAAGGGTACAAGTCTCAAGCCACGCTTCTGAGCCCTTTCCAAGCTCGCAGTGGGTGAACAATGTATTTATGTTGCCTTCGGAGGCAGGGTCAATGCTTGCCTGCTGAGTTGGCAACTTAATAAGCATTGCACAGAGAGGTGCGTCCATCATTTTGGCAAAGGCCCAAAAAGTTCAAACGTGTTTGGCCCGGCCAGTCAACTCAGCAGGTCAGAATAGGTCCAGCCGCACGGCTTAGACGTTGCGAGTACCGGCCTGGGTCTCAGGCGCGTGAGTGTTGGCTTTGCGATAAGTCCGGTGAGAGGAGCCATGACTTTGGCCCTATTCGCAAATGCTGCGAATGGCCGCTCCGCGGGCCTTGTGCGAGGGAACAAAACAACTGTCGTTTTTGTTATCTTAAAAAGCGCGGCTGAAGTGGGGATGAGCCACTGGCCCAATTTGGGTGGGCTTACTTGAATCACGTTGGCTACCGAAAGAGGATGGTGAGGTAATCGCACAACTTGTGTTCCTTTCTCTGAAGAGTTCCTTTGAATCTCACTGGACTGTGTGGGCAGTGTATTCCACAACCCGGCTAAAGAGTCCGGTGACCACCATGGTGCTTGTGCTAGTTGTTTTTTGCTCAAGTATGAATGAGCAAAGCCGTCAGTTGATTCCTCCATCAACCAACTAGCCAACGAAGCACACTTTCATGCAGTCAGTCAGCCAGCCAGCCAGCCAGCCAGTCAGTCAGTCATGCAGTTAATTAATCATTCGATCAATGCTTCATTCATGCATGCAATCAATCAATCAATCAATCAATCAATCAATAAACTAATCAAGGAATAAGTATACAAATATATATATATATATATACATATTATATATCAATCAGTCACCCAGCAGGTCAGTCAGTCAGTCAGTCAGTCAGTCAGTCAGTCAGTCAGTCAGTCAGTCAGTCAGTCAGTCAGTCAGTCAGTCAGTCAGTCAATCAATGTAACAATGATCCATCCATCCATCCATCCATCCCTCCCTCCATCCATCCATCCATGCATGCATGCATGCATGCATGCATGCATCCATGCATGCATCCATGCATGCATCCATGCATCCATGCATCCATGCATCCATGCATCCATGCATCCATGCATCCATGCATTCATGCATCCATGCATCCATGCATCCATGCATCCATGCATCCCTGCATCCATGCATCCCTGCATCCCTGCATCCTTCCATGCATCCTTCCATGCATCCATGCATCCATGCATCCGTTTGTTTGTTTGTTTGTTTGTTGTTTGTTTGTTTGTTCACGCATTCCAGTTTGTTCGTTTGTTCGTTGCATTCTTGAGTCCACACATTCATGCATTTGTACATTCACGCACTCATACATGCATGCATGCCAATCAATGATCGTTGGGTTAACCAGGCAACCCGTCAATCAAGGACTTGTGTGTGTTTGTGCATCCGAAGGTAAGGAGTCAGGTCCGGTTCAAGTTGCGACCCAGCTGTTCTGCAAAGCTGTGGGATCTCACTCGGCCAATGGCGCTGGGCCAGAAAGTAGGAGTGCTCACCTGAGTATCGGAGACACCTAGCTGAATTGTGCCGCGACCCGCGACGCGTGGGCAATCCAGTTGCCGTCTCTCCCGAGTCTGTCATATCAACTATCGACAGGCCGGGGTTTTCCACTCGCTGGGCACTCAGTGTACGATGCCCGGCCTTACCGCTTACGAGAAATCGCTCGTTCCGCGAGTTGGACTCGATGGACAGAGCCGTTGAGCCCCTCGCAAGTCTCATGGCGCCTGGTACTACAGAAGATACCTTTGACTGAATGGGTGTTTCAATTGCACTGGGCAGGCCCATGTTCGATGATTCTCAATGGGGTAAGCAAGATGTATTTTATGCGGGCCTAGCTACTTTTGCAAACACCCAGGTGGTCTCTTTGAGCTACTCAGAGATTTCTAGAAGCCAAGTGAAGCCAAGAGCTTGTTTCCCGTTGCCAGCGACGCCGATGTTTGAAACTCCGGTTGCTCTTTGCGCGCCGAACTCCCAGAAGTGAGGAGGAACTAAGGCACCTGTGAGGAGCAATGAGGCGCAAAGCACCAAAACCTGCAGGCTTTCGAGCAACACGACTTTCTACCTTTGGGCTTGGTGGATAGTTTTAACATGTTAGGACCGTTTCGCTTTTTGGGCACGCAGTTGGGGGCAATTGCTTGCGCATTTTCAAAGCTAAGTGGCCTGTGAGCCGATAGTACATTTGGGTAGAGCTAGGATACAATTTACGTGTTGTATGTGACTGTTGGCGAAAAGTGAAACAGCCAATAGAAGGCATATCTTGGAATATCAAGACCTGACTCCAATCATGACAATTTATTTGGATAAGCTGTTCACAGCTAAGCTCTTTGGCTTGACTGAAAACTCTATTTGGCCTTCTGGAGAATGCCAGTCACCGCCCCGAAGTGGACTACTTGTTTATCCTTGTTCCCCAAATTGACCATGTTTGCTCAGCCGTTTAGGTTTCAATTCAGGGACTCAATGAGGGTTTCCACATATTTGGGCTATTGTTGTTCTCAACATATGCTGCTGATGTTGAGACCGCTGTCTCCTCCCGTTGTTTTCTCCGGCCTTTCTGCCCCAAACCACTTGACATGGGCACTCTGGTTTTTCCAGTGCCAGCTTGCGTTTCCACCGGGTTTCCTTCAGGCCGCTCCAGGTGAAGAACTGCCAAGCCTTAGCGGGTGGAACACTGTTAGGAGGATGCATTCCCTTTTGCGATCCAGACAATCTGTCTTGTTCAATCGGGACTTTTGCATAGAGAGTTCATCTCGGAAGTGACGTATCTCTTCGAAAGGGTCAAAGGAAACACTAGCTCAACATGGGTGTTGCAACAAAAGTCGGGGGCCCCCCAAAAATGGCTCCCTCTTAAAGCAGAAACCGTGCTCTCTTCGTGCAGACCTCATGCAGCTCACGCCACCAAATCCATCCCTCCGGGTGCAAGGTCGCCCGTTTGTGGCACAAGAGACAAAAGGGCACGCGCAAAAATGTGGACATGTTGCATGGGGGATGTCCTGAGATTTCAACATGGGCTTCAATGCACCGTCACCATCCTGGACCACTTGCAAGAAAAGCCCAATCGACAAGTGGCTGGGTGGAAGAAGTGACAGGACGAGCTGGTGGACGGACGTCACAGTTCACATGCTTGTATTGTAAAAATCGCAATGATGGCTGTCGAGCTCACGTCAGCTCCTTTGTCAAACCAGTAAGGGAAACTTGACTCTTCAGGCAGACACCGTTCTTTGCAAAACCCCTTTGTAGCATGACGACTTCCTGCAACTCGGCGAACATTGTGTGATTCGAGGGCTTAGGGCTCGTCTTTGCATCGCAGCCATTTGCCCGCCTTCGAGCGCGTGAAGCGCGCAGAGAGGGGGCGAGGCCCAGTTCTGGGGGGGGGGATGGCTGCGCTTTGAAGGTCGACTCAAGGTTAACCCATGAGGTTGTTTCGGGAAGGTTCTCATGCATTTTGTTCCTTGGATTCAAAAGGGTACTTGATTCGGCGGCCCTGCACCAGATGGGAAGGGCGACTTGTGTTTATGTGCAGCCGTGAGCCCAATATTCCAAAACCACAGAACCTGGACCTTTACAGGGGGTGTGAATTCCCGACCTTGGATGGCGTACCTAGTTTCTGACCATGGTTGGTTTCATACGAGTTACCTTATGATCCCACACGTGGAGCAACTGCAAGCTACACCTCAGACGTCAAGAGGATTCCCTGGGGTGGGGTGTCCGCGGATTGGGCCAGGTGCCAGGAAAGGAAACTAAGACTGACACCACCTTCCAATGTCGGTGGCAAGAACCAGCCAAATGGATGCTTTTCCAAACGGTGCAGGCAAGGAGGTAAAAGTGCATGTTTCAGCTGTTGCACGGGGACTGAACACCATGGCAATGCGGGCATGTGTTTTGGTTGGACGACCAAAACTGGTTGTTTTCGTTTTAGTTTCCATTTATCGCCTGGGGACCATCAAAAACATACACCATCAAACACACACACACACACAAACAAACAGACAAACAAACAAACAAACGAACAAACAAACAAACAAACAAACAAACAAACAAACAAACAAACACAAGCAAACACAAACACAAACAAACACAAACACACAAACAAACAGACAAACAAACAAACAAACAAACAAACAAACGAACAAACAAACAAACACAAGCAAACACAAACACAAACAAACACAAACACACAAACAAACAGACACAAACACACACACAAACACACAAACAAACAAACAAACAAACAAACAAACAAACAAACAAACAAACAAACAAACAAACAAACAAACAAACAAACAAACAAACAAACAAACACAAACACAAACACAAACACAAACACAAACACAAACAAACAAACAAACAAACAAACAAACAAACAAACAAACAAACAAACAAACAAACAAACAAACAAACAAGCAAACAAACAAACAAACAAACAACCAAACAACACACACACACACCACACACACACACGCGCACGCACACACACACACGCACACCCAGATGTTTGTTTGCAGACTAGTGTGAAGTCAGGGCCGACCTGTCCAAACAACTGACAAGCGCAGGATACACATTATGTTTTCTTTTTCTTTTTCTTTGTATTGGGCTTGGCCCCTGCTGGGCCCTCCTTTTTGACACTAAAACGACTCCCAAATAGCTGGTCAGATTGATCTGGTCAGTGTTCCTTATCGACAGCCGACCCATTGGGCAACTGCATCTGCTTGTAGACTGGTTGTTTTTGTGGCCAGGATTTGTCCTTGACCTGTTTAGTGAGCTGCCAACTCTTTGCAGTGAACCCTCAGCCAATATGAAGCCTTTTGTAGGGAACCCACCCTCGCCATGGCTGATGTGGACAGTCTGGGACAAGACTCTGGGAACGAAACCAATGAGAGTGCCAAGAAACCGATCACTGGCCGGTTTTCGCTCACTCCATCGGCTGGAGTGTTCATGTTCGCAGACGCATGGTGGATGGGTTTTCCATTGTGTCATTTTTGCCTTCCATGGGTCCAGCTGAATTCATGTTTTTGGGAGGAAGCCATTCCGAAGCAGTACATGTTGCCTGTTCGCACACATAGAGCCGGTCGGGATGAGCGCCAAACCACTAGCTCAGTAGAATGTGATGTCCAACTGGATTATCATGTGTCCTTTCACTGATTGACCTTGTGTTTGAGTTTAGCGACCCATAGACCCCCCATTTGCCAAGTGGATGTGTTTGGCGGATCCCAAAGCCATGTTTTTCTCGTTTTGCAGGATGAATATTAAGACACTTGCGAAAGACTGGCAGGACGGTCCACTTTGGGCCGCCTCACTTTCCAGACCCAAGCAACCCGCTCCAGAATGGCTCCGGGCGGCGAGTTCGGGATGACTCGGAGGGAGCTGGAGGTGGGACTGGGAACACTTTGCTTGAGCTATTTTTTTGCGTGGGATGTTGAGTAGAGGCTCATTTGAGTTCAGCAGAAGGTTATTTGATGTCATTTGGGAGCCCAGTGATTTGTGGCAACTAATCCCTTCAGAAAGTCACCTTGCCCCCTTTCCTTTTAATTGACACAATACTAAACCCAATAAAAAGCTTCTGACAACCATCTTTTTTTATTGGGGGGGGGGTACGTTCAGCACTTCCCTTGTTCAACTGCTGCCTACCAAAATAAAGAGCACCTGAGGCCCATATTCGGTTCTAATTTGTAGCCGTAAAAGTTGTAATCTACCCTTCCAATGTTTAAGTTGTATTTCCATACTCCTCCAGTGGCTTCCGGCACATTTCCAGAGGAAAAAAACAAGGGACGCCTGGGACTCCTGGGATCCTATTAATCAAAGACATGTTAGGTTTTTGCCTGGGGGGATTCAACAATAAGGGTCGCCGATTTCCTACGCAAGGCTCTCAAGATGAGCCGGAGCCATCGACGATATTTCAAAGGATCTCTAACGGAACAAAGCATCTTTGTGGTGTCGCGCTTTGCCCTCGTCGGCATTTTCACTCACGGCCTCGTTCAAGGACGCGGCAGGGGCGGATTTGCGGCACCACCTGGGCCGCAAAGTGCTCTCGCGAGGACCCCCAGGACCTTGCTTCCACTCACCGGCTGTGAGTGCACCCCTTTTGGCGGGGGTTTTGGCTTTTGACGTGTTTGTGTGTGTGTGTGTATATGTGTGTCTGTCTTGACCTACTCATTAGGCGCGCAATTTGCGGAGTTTGCAATAGAGGGTGCGGTTTGTGGAGCTTGAGGCACTTGATTCGGATTTGGGAATGTCGAGGCTGCCCCAATGCGGGATCCCTTGAACAAACAGTCAGCTTGATGGCTTGATGGGGACATGGCAAAAGCCAGAGGATGTTTTGTCAACTGCAACTCGAAAACTACTCGGCATGTCGACCAGTACCATCGTTTGGCCTATGAACAGAAGCATGTGGCAGGTTTGCATTTAAATCCTATTCAAATCCAAACTGAGTTCTACAAAGGGGGGGCCGTTGGTGATGATGTGCATTGAGTACGACAAACGCTACAAAGCACTGTGTTTATTATGTATTCTAACCAGGTAGTCAGGTAGTGCTAGGACTAGTAAAACAGCACAAACTTGGGACACCTGAATTCCCTCCTTATTATGCAATCTACTTCATGTCTTTATCAAGTTCTACTCAACGTCAAAAGGACATTACATATAAAATGTTGAAGACAAGCCAAGGGCTTGATTTATTTAGGTGTTTTGGCCCTGCATTCACATGTTACCTGCTTGGGAACCTCTGACTGATGTCTCAGGTCCAAAGATCCGCGCTATGCGCCGGGAGCTGAGTGCGGCGACATGGGCCGTGGTCGAAAGAAGCTGGATGGTCCCAAGATGTCCCAAGTGTCTTTGGAATGCAGTGATACGCTCAGCCGAGTTGACGGTCTCGAAAGCAACGCCTCAGTTCTGTTGGAGGCTTTTTTATGATGGGGTGTTCGGGTGGCTCTTATCTTTACCAGACGCCCTTAGTTGACGCTGGTGGGCATCCAAGGAATGTGCGTCGCTGGTTCCCGCTTGTACTTCTTGCTTTGCAGAAGCAAAACGACTCCAATCTCTCAACAAGCCTTTTGCAGTTGCCTGGCAGGCCCCGAAAGAGGTCAAGCAAGCAGAGCCCACCTTGAAGTGAGAGTTGACGGCTGATTGGATGTTTGGATTGAACCCTTTGGGACAACCGCAAGCACCATAATGAGGGCGTGCGTTGGCGAAGGCTTAGTTTGCTTCTATGGAGCCTGCCCTTTCACCTTAAGTATCATGTTCGGCCATGTCAATCTCAGTTTAGCGCAGGTTGCTTCGTGACTTGTTGCTCCTTCCGTTGACTGAATCTCGAGACAAAAGACTGTGTGTCAGGTGTCAAACTTGGCTGATTTCGAGCTGAGCTTGTGCTTTTCTGTGACCACGGGTTGGTTTGACACGCAAAAGGTTACGTAAATCTACAGCACTTGTTTGTAGCACAGCATTACTAACTCACTACTGGAGGATGTTGAATGATATAGCTGCTCAAACACCCTCAAGGGTGACGTTGGCGTCTTCACTTCCCACGTGAGGTCGGCGCCCTCCTTCTCTTTTGGAGGGCGATCCGTGAATGAGCGGCTCGGAGATGGGTTGGATCAGACTTGGTTAGTTCAACCTTTAAGTGTAAACGGGAAAGCGGTCTTGACATAAGCCATGGCCAGCCCTTGGACCTCTGAGCCTCAAAAGTTTTAGGGCCCTCGCGCTGTGTCGGGTCCACGACAGACGTCCTGCCTCTGTTTTTTCTTTGTCTTTATACATAGCAGCCCTTCTGCTTAAACAAGAGCTTGAGGGTCTGTGGGAACAACCTCTGTTCACGCGGGGCGAGACTGGTCTATAGTTACCCGCATTCTCTGCTATCATTGGCACACTCTCCATATTTTACAGAAATTGAAACTTGTCACGTTAAGTCATAAACTGCGATGTCCCAAGTGGGGTTATGAAATTGGATTTGAACAGCCGAGTCTCAGCAGCACATGGGGAGTCTGAGCATGGTTGAGCTACACTTCGCTGTGGTTGCGTGTTGCGCGCTTGGAAGAGCTCATGTGCAAAATGAAGCTTCATTCCTGCAAGTCACAAGGGGAATCTTGTGAGTTGACCTCCCAACAAACTAGCCATTCACAGCTTGGGTTAACGGGGAGAAGAACCCAATCCGCCGACTTTCCGAGTTTCTTGCGTCTAAAGGAAGGTGACCTAGTTAAAAATTAGTGATTTGATTTTGCTTGCCGAATTGAGTCAATGGAGTCAAGGAAGGAAAAAGGGGAGTTTGCCTTGCAGTTTTCTTCCAGCCGGAGCCAGAAGGGTGTGTCTTTCTTTACTTGCATACCCTTCGCAAGGCGTAGGGGAAGCTAGTACTATGACACTCGATGACACTATCATTACCGCCACCACCACCACCGCCACCACCACCACCACCACCACTTCTACTACTACTTCTACTACTATCACTACTACTCCTACTCCTACTCCTACTCCTACTACTACTCCTACTCCTACTCCTACTCCTCCTACTACTCCTACTCCTACTACTACTCCTACTCCTACTCCTACTCCTACTCCTCCTACTACTCCTACTCCTACTCCTACTCCTATTCCTACTCCTACTCCTACTCCTGCTCCTACTCCTACCACTCCTACTACTACTACTAGTACTAGTACTGCTACTGCTACTGCTACTGCTTTGCTACTGCTACTGCTACTGCTACTGCTACTGCTACTAGTACTTATATGATTACTACTGCTACTGCTACTGCTACTGCTACTTCTACTACTACTACTACTACTACTACTACTACTACTACTACCATCGCTACTACTAGCATCACTACCACTGCCAGTGCTACTACTAGCAACGGCGGTGATGTTGACTCCGCGCAGAGCCTCTCCAAGGTTGAACACCTTGGCCAGCAACCGGAGTTTCTTCTGCCAGAGACTCGGGGTTCCGGACTTTGCGAGCTATGCGGGCTTTGTTCATGCTGTGTTGCTGCCATCAAAAAGGAGCCATCCCCACTCTGTACTTCTTGTTCAACATGACTTGACTAGTGGTGACAGCCTGGGTCACCCCAGCTGATTGTTGCCATGTGTCCTTTCCCCGGCGAACTGCGAAACACAGCCTCACCACATGCTTACGGCATACCTGCATCGAGTTGCCAAGTCCCAGGTAAGACAGGCACTCACCGATGTCAAGATGGCGAAATCCTGAACGACCATCTCCGGAGGCCTGGAATTGACGAACCAAGATCTACCAATGGAAGGAGTGGACGATTTGTCTAATATTATATAAATATGTGTTGTTGGAACCATACAATCTGACACGGTATGAATTCCGTTCGAGAGAAAAGGAACATTCGATGTGTATTCAACCAAATGTAGCCCCTAAGTCTAAAACCATTCGTAGCACCGTTCGCGAGACCCAGCCATTTGGCTTTAGGTCCAAGCACTGAACGTGAAGATCTGACTAGGAGTCCCACAAGGTATTTCAGCTCTAGTTGGGACGCATGACAAGGTTTGCGGGTGTTTGTGATATTTGCTAGGTGCCAAAAGGCTGCACTTCGAGTGCCCAGAGCGCAATAGCTCCTGAGAATGTGTTGCTCACATGGAGGGTATATCTAGAGTATGAGCGTTGCGGATGCCCTGAGCGAGGGTCTATTCTATTCGAATGCTTTCAGCATCATTTCGCAGCGAATTAGTTGCATGGCATGTTCGAGATCTGGTGTGGAGTGCTACTTAAAGATGAAGTATTGGAAATCAAGGGATGCTCCTGTTTCTATTTACTTCATGTTATTTGTTGCTTGTAATTATTTTTCCGGTTCAGCAATGTTCTTTCACCCACAGACAGCCTCTTGCTTCCCTGGTAGCCATATGTTGGACGAAGAGGTGGCAAGCAATGTCAAGGTTTTAATTGAGTACAGCATTTTGAATGATACACGGCTGCAGAGTTTCGTAGTTCATCCACTCGGGATGCAGTTTGTCGGGTTGGCCTTGGGATTCGACACATGCAGATTGCCAAATTTGTGTTTTAGCAAACATGGACTGAGCAAGCGGCGATCTCTTGTTCATATTGCCTAGACATGATTACTTGTTAATGTTGACCCAGGATGAATAAACCCCATTATTAGGGGGGTGTTCCCTCCAAAAGTGATGACTCCCCACTAAAAGGGGACAAGGGGTTTATTGATCCGGGGTTAATTAACATTATTGACCGGACCCGCCAAGAAAGCCGCCGGCCCTAGCAGTCCAAAACGGCGCGGAACCACGGCCGAGAATTTGTTTCATTCGGCAGGCGGGACGACAAGAGTCAGATCAACCTCCGGTCAAGGGGACGGCAGTGGAAGGCGCCGCCAGGCGCGCGGTTTGAGTTTCTTGTCGTGGGGGTTCTGTGGAAACTTTTGACGAGGGAGGTTGGGACTTGAAGACTTTTGGCCAACCCATGGGTTTTCCATGAAAACCGCTAGAAGTTTAACAGTTTAACTTTCAGCAGGGGAGCAGAAAGCAAACGAGGTTTGATGTGCGGTCAGTTTGGTGTATTTGGTTGAGTTGCCTGTAGCTTAAGCAAGCTGAAGCCAGACTCCGAGATCTAATTGCTTTGGCTTGCTTCGGCTCCACAAGTTCTTGTCGCGACAACCAGCTTGAACTAGCTGTAGTTTCTACTGGCGCAAGGTGGGGTGCATCCCCACTCGTTGGTTCTATCAATGTTTTGGACGGAAATCATTGTCAGCTATCTTTGGCCGCCCTCCCTCCCCCCAAGAGTTTCTCCTTGTCAGTCTGATTCGATCTGACAGTGCTTAAAACGGCCTCGGCAAGAATTGGAATCATCCACAAGCAAGTGCCTGAGGTGAAATGTTGACTTGTTGATGTTCGCCCACCAAAGGGTATTAAGCTAGTTCTGCGAAACAATAACGCAGCGCCCCCAAACGCGCCTCACTGCCTGTTGCTGCTGACTGCTTTGCCACCTGCTCGAGTCAAGTGTGTTCATAGTCGCCACGTTTCTGCGCGCTAAAGATCGCCTCAACTGAGGCAGAGGTGTCTCCGAAGGACAATGCAATCTCATTTGGACACGCTCCAATCGGAACGCAGGCTCAATCCCCAAGCCAGGAAGTGGATCCATAGAGCCGCGCAGCCAAAGCTCACACTTGAGATATGAACTCTGCACTGGTTCCCCCTACATCGGACAAAACAACTGGAGGGGGAGAAACCCTCTCCCTAATATATTTCCTATCATGGGTTTCACTGCCCCCAACCCACTACCCCCAGGGTATATTCGGATATGTACCCCTTATATGGTGGCTACAAAGTGGCCACATCCCATTAAACTTCTCCTGGGGGTAGTGTTTTGGGGCTGGAAACAATTCTGGAAGCCAAGCGCAGGTCCGGGAGCCTACCGAGTGCCCAGGTGCCAGGGAAGGGGGGGCAGCTCCGGCAGGCGATGTCCCGAAGTTTTCCAAGGTCTTAGGAAGTTGTCAGGTCCAAAGCATGTTCGGGCCTTTCACTTACACCGGCCCGGGTACAAGGACCAAGGAAGTTTGAACCAAGGCTATAGTATGCTGAATCACGATTCTTTGTTGGAGCCTGTAAACAAATGTATTTCCCGCTGTTGGATGATTCCAGAGGGCTGAGAGCGGTTGGTTGCACCTAACACTCCTACGACTTTTTGGACTTGTACAAGCCATCAAGTGTGTCAAAGGTTAGCATTGAGCTGGGGTTGTGCCATCGTGCCGCTCAGATGGTTGCACTGTTAGGAAACCTCCTACGACTTTTTGGACTTGTACAAGCCATCGAGTGTGTCAAAGGCCAGCATTGAGCTGGGGTTGTGCCATCGTGCCGCTCAGATGCCGCCGGTCTTGCTTTGGCTTTAGGGCTGGGTGGCAACTTGCTCAACATGCACCCAAAAGGACTCAACCAAGAAACAAACTCCAGCGAAGAGAACGGCGAGTCTCAAAATGAGCCCATGCCTCTTTGGGTTTTTCCCCTGGGGCCAACCCCGCCGATCCGATTCCCCCCCCCCCCCTGCGGCCAACCCCGCGCCTTCCGCGCCTTTCCGCGGGCCATGGTGCTGCCGTGGAAGGCGGCTTCCCCCGGCGCGTGGCTGTTGGACTGCCGGCTGCGGCGGTACCTGGACGAGGGCGAGCGCTTCCACTGGCAGGACCCAACTCGCAGCTTGGTCCCCAGGTGCCCGTTGACCGTTTCTTTTAGGGGGAGGGCCCCCTACTAAAATCGACTACAGGAAAAAAAAAGGTACCCTTATTGTAACCTCTCTACTGGAGGACCTAGGCAGTGAAGGGGATCGGGTACACACCAAAGTAACAGAAGGACACAGAGACTACTCACAGAGGACACATTCAGGACATGAAGAATATTGACCATCGACCGTGCCTCAACTATCCCTCAATGGGTCGACCTTCGTGGAAATATGTTCCCACACGGGCCATGTAGAACTGGCTGTGGGTCAAAAGAAGGTACCCAAAAGGGAACCCTGGTAAATGAGAAACATGGACTAAAACCTGCGGTCCCCTGGTGGTTTAATTTTGACCCACACCCAACTACTCTTCACCACCATTCCCAGTGCGAACACGGGGCCGAACTCCAGGACCTACTTCAGCTGACTGAGATGGCCGTGGCGGCTGCGGTTAGCGAGGCGGGGGTTGCAAGGTTTGAAAAGCCACCAGTTTGGGGTAAACGGAGGGATAGATCAAGGGCCAAACCAACTTCAAGTCATCCAAGGGGCTAAACCACCTGCAGGTGTCAGTTTTTGCTTTGTGCTGTAGTAAGCAGTTCAGGGTTAGGTGGTCGTCTCGCAGTATTCAGGGTAGTGGTGGTACGTCGCAGAAGTGAAAGTGAGCTTGACGTGCGGGCGAAATGCAATTGGAGTGGAGTTTGCTTGTAGTGAGTGAAAGCATATACATGCACACTGTGCGCACTTTCCAGAGTCCAGTGCCAGCTGCAGGAAGCTGCATGTCGTGCTTTTCAGCCCTGGCTCAGGCGTACTTGGCACTGCTGCCCGCATTTGGCTGGGTCTCTGGGTCGGCTTGCTCCTTCGCACCCTGGGTGAGCCGCGGGCTGGTGTTCTTTGCAGCGCCGTTCTCGTACCTCCTCATGTATGTCTTTGTTTGCGGCTCCATCCACTTCTACACACAGAGGAGGGAGCAAATTAGCATTCAAAAAAAGCCGATGACCGATCTGGAGACTCGCAGAGCTATCGTGTTCAGCATCAAGAGCATTTCCTCGATCTCTGCAGTGTCTGCTTTTGCATATTACGTCATACAAGGCTGGACTAACATCCACTGGGGCAGGCCACGTTTGCAAGAGATACCCTACCTTCTGATCGCCTACATCTTGGTGGACATCTCGGCTTACCTTGTCCACCGGATGTTGCACCGGCCCTGGTGGTATCGGCATGTTCACAAGGCCTGGAAGAAGCAAATCAGGCTATGGGGCAGCCATGACCGATTTTACCCAGGTGCCTTTCTTGATTGTTTAGATTTGCAAAGGATAGCTACACACCACGGCAAGTAATCCAACATACACCACACCAATGCTTGGATCCCTGAAGAAAGAACTTTTTGCAAGTGGATGCCATATCTTGAGTTCAAAGATCTCATCTGCTTGAAAGAGTTGCGAAAGGCCCATGTTCCAACCATCTGAACTTTCAGGCGCACCATTTGTGGAAGAGTCCCAACGTCTTCGTGGTCTCGGCGCTGCACCCCGCCGAGCTCCTGAGTTTGACGGTGCCCACGCTGGCGGTGCTGACGGCCATGCCCGTCAGTATCGTCTTCGTGGTGGCGACCCCGCCCGCAAGTAGAAACGAGACGGTTCTCAAGGGCAACCTAGCCATTTGTGGGGTTCCCTGGCGAAAGAACCATAAAACCATTTGGGGTCTGTGAAAACTAGGGGCCCGCCATCCAACAAATGGACATATTTTTGGCAACCCCCCGTGTGAGGTTCGGTCTTGAAATATGCAGTCCAGGTGTGGTCAACCATTCTGCAAAGGTTTGGGCACTCACTAATTATCCTATGTCCTTTGTGGGAATATATTGTCCGTGGTTCATGCGTCCAGTAGAACCTCATGGCTCCCCTGCTCAGCCCTAGGAAACTCATAGGAAGGGTGGACCAGGTCCCTAACGGGCAACAGGTTCCTGTGATGTGGCTGTTTTGGGGGACGGCTTCCGGAATTGAGGGGCCATTGCTATGAGAAGACACTGTCACTTGCACCTCAGGGCGGTCGCACCCGGCATAGGGCAAACCCACCGAGTTGACGCTGATGTTTTTGCAGACTCAGGCGACGCTTGCCTGGATCTTTGTGTGCAACACCATCGACCACTCGGGATTCGAGCTGGACCGCCTGCCGCTGTTGGCCTTGCTCTTTTGGCAGGCTTTGAGTTCAACCTGTCACTCAAGTGTGTCATCCCCGGCGAATGGTGCTGGGTGCTTGAAGCTTGACTCGATTGTCCGCATCTCTTTTTATCCAATGGGGTCTAACGCCAGTTTTGGCAGGCCCCCGTGGCCTTCCATGACAACCACCACAAGTTCTTCCACGCCAATTACGGCGCCATGGTGGACTGGTGGGACCGCTTGGGAGGCACGATCCACAACCAAAACCGCCTCGGTACATCCATCCGAAAGGCATTTAGAATATGGCTTCCATGGAAATGAAAAGGCAGATTGTAGCAAAGGTTTGCGCCAAATATAGACCATAGTTCAGTACGACATGGTCGCATGGATCCTTGCTGCTGAGCCCTAAAAAAGGCACATACTACAACCCGGAGCAGCACGGCAACATCGGGCTTTCGGAGGAGGAGTTCCGAGGTACCAAGTTGCTCACCCAGAAGAAGAACTGAGGGAGGGCTGCAAGAGGTATGCCTTCCCTCGTAGATGAGTTTTGCAATTCGCCTCGTTGCGCATTTGGCCTCCTTGTATTGTGCTGAGGCATTGTCTCAAGCCAGATGTGGTTTGGGCATCTGGAATGCCACCAGGGAAAAGGGAGTTGACCCAGCGAGATGTTCGCGGGAGAGTGCTGCTTGGGATTGGTGGTGTGTGTGTGTGTGTGTACATCACTGGCACATAAGGAGTGAGCACCAGACGTGTGTTTGTTTTGGCCCATTGATTCTTGTGTGTGTGTGTCTTGGATTATTTGGTCATTTGGTATGCACAGCTATGTCCAGCTTAGTTGAGCAAATCTGGAAGCCCAGCGTGGCTGGGTAGGTTGCCACCTGAGTTGGTGCTTTGCGTAGGTTCCTCGGCGACATCGACCGAGTGCGGGAAGCTCTGCGCCCAGCCAGCGAAAGCATTTCGAGCTGTCAGATGCCTGTCGATGCGCCGACACAATCTTTGGTGCCACGACTGCCGCGACTATCTCTGAGAATGGCATACCCAGACTGCATACCAGACTGGACGAAATGTCCAAGCCCAAAATGTCATGAACTTCGGACGCAAACACTGGGGATGGCGGTGGTGCGAGGAATGCTGGGAATGCAAGGAATGCTGGGGATGCAGAGTGCAAAAGACCAGAGTTTGTTGATTCTTTCCAAAATCAACCATCAAAAAGGAAAACGAGCCCCCGGGATTCCAAAAACCACACATTTGTTTTTCAAAATGTGTTTAGCAGTTCTTTAGATTGTCGCTACGCTTGCCAAACAGAAAAAAACACCGTTGATATCAGCAAAAACATGCAAAAACAACAACAAAGACAGCACTGATAATGCTGAGGAATGCAGATTCTTACCACTGTAGGCAAACCTCCCCCCGGAGACCCGGACAAAACATACGTTCTAGGCGTTCAAAGACCCAAAACACTGGAAAACAGGTTTTGGACACCCGGCAAATTTGCCCAAAGCCGGCCTCGACCAAAGCCTTCGGCTTTGAAAGAAAATTTGGAAGGGAGAGCAAGTTGCGGAATTGCCATCTACACGCTCGACTGGCGTCGGCGGATTTAGCCAGGGGATGTTGCTTTCGCAAAGTTTAAGATGACGCCAGCGGCATGTCCGCCAAAGCAATTTCATCGAGCCCTACAAGTTTCAACTAGTTGAAGCATAGGCTCGTCACACTTTGCCAATTCAACAGCAACAAGTCCAGCCGAATGAAAGTCAGGCTGATGAGCACACTCACTACCCTCCTTCATTTGACACCGGTTCAATGAAGATCAAGCACATTGCGCATCATTTCATTCTGTTTCTGGAAAGCATCGCCAACAGAGTCTGCGATGTCGCTTGTTGTTGCAAAAGAACGCGGATGGGCCGCCTGTTTTTGTGCCTGGCCACCATAGCTCGCTCACCAGGAGTCATTTGGTGGTTCTTCCTTGCTTGGGACTGCGCTTGGGTTTGTGGGAAACGAGCTTCCCCCCAATAAAAAATAGGGACCCCCCCCGGCCTATGATAGTGTACAAGCTTTGGGGAAAGAAGCCTTGGTTTTATTATCTCTGGTTGGTATAGGCCTGGTAGAGTTAGCTTGCCGCTGTGCAGCCCCCTACAGGTTCAAAATTATTAATTCGATTGGTAGTACAAACTTTGAAGCGGAAAGAAGGACCTTGGTCTTGTCAATAAATTCCGGTTCTTATGGGGTTAGTGCAGGAAGCTTGGGTCCTGGAGTAGCCCCCGATAAGACTAGGGTCGGGTTTGGCAGGGAGTCAGCCAGTTGAGAATTGCCTTGGAATTGGCCTATTCTAAGAGTCGTAGTGGGGGTCCGGGTGCCTGGGAAAACACGATATGTATTAATAGGGTGCATTTATCAATAGAGGAAGGGATTACAGAACAACTGCGAAGAAAGCTTTCTTTCGGCTTTGTTCGTCCCAACATATAACAGCCATGAGAATTTGATTCATCGCTGCGACCCAGTGGTTCTGGTTCTGTTGCTTGAGAGACGGCTTGGTAAGACCTTTGCGAACGCAGGGTTTTGAAAAAAGCAGGTAAGGTCTCGGTATAGGCCATGGCAAATGGAACTTAATGATCTTACTGGGAGTTCGTGTCACACCAGACCACGCATGTATACATATATGCATATACATATATGCATATACATATATGCATATACATATATGCATACATACGTATACACATATACATATATATATATAAGAGAGAGACATACATATATATATATATATATATATATATGTGTGTTGGCACCCGTGTCGCAAAAGGCACACATCGTTACCCGCCAAAGCTCGTGGCAAATCTGCGAAAGCTAAACAAGTTCCGCCCAGGTCTCGATGGCAAAGAGCGCCTGTCCGCGGGGCGCTGAGCTGGACAAGCTTGAAGTATGAGTCGGGTCCCAGGCGGGTCTTTCAGGAAACCCTCCAGAATTTGGATACTTATTAAAGCCTAGTTCCCCTCAATTCATTTAAAGGATACCAGCAGAAAAAGAACACTATCTGTCGGGCCCCCGATTTTGACACTTTCGATGGATGAACCGAAACCCAGTTCCCATTTGGGAAAGTCCACTGGGCTAGAAGATGGAAGCCTGGGATAAGCGCTTGTGAAGGTAGGCCCTTGATGTTCTGGGCTTTGCGAGTGAGGAGCAGAGTCCAACACCCTTGTTCGGCATGACAGATGATGCAAATGGCCGTGCTTTGTTCAGCATCCCAATGCGTTGGAGTGCAGATGTTTTCGGTAGATGTTGAGGGCCGGGACGCTTCCATGCGTGGACGCTTAATTTGCAAACGTCCAAACATTTCAAGAAGGGAAGTTCAAGCACGCTGGAAAGGGCGGCTCCTGAAACGACGTGGAGTCTTTAAGTGGAAGTCCAAGAGAGCCACCGGGTGATACCGCGGTGTCGGAAAGTCAGAATTTCCGGGCACAAAAAGGTTGAAGTGTGGTGAAGGTCTTGCAAACAAAAAGCAAACATGTACAGTATAGCCTGAGTCTTGGGGGAAGTCCTGCAGATGTGCAATACAACCTTTGCAAAGAGTTGGAGTTTGGAGGAGTTCCAAGAATTGCTAGGGGTGATTTGTTCAATGACACTTTCAAATTTATGTTGCAAGCAATGCTTCGAGGTATCAACGAGGTCTTTGACGAGTCTGATGATCGATCAAACGCACGCTTGATGTATGCGTAAGTGAAGATGAATGCGGAGTCAAGATTGAAGTGACAGACAATTTGCAAGGAAACTGCCAATACCAAGTGCGGGGTGCAAAGCGCACCATGATGGTTCTTCGGCGTGCCAATGCTTCACGTCAGCTTGCACTCCGACAGACTCCACCCTTGTCAAAACATTGTTGCTCATGCCTGATTATGGACGCGGGTTCCAGAACAGTATGCTTCAATAATGGATGCAGAGCCATGCAAATGTGAGAGGGTGCGTTTCCTCTAATGTTGACAGGCACGTTTAGGTTGAGAACCACATCTGCAGCGGCCAGCTGCATGGCATGGATTTCCACCAAGGGATGCGCGTCATGTTCATCCAAGTACTTGTTTCATGTGCATTATAGCAACCAGTCGAACCAAGAAGCCCATCTTCAGAAGAATTGTTATGTTAAAAAAGGAGAAGAAAAACACATCGATGGCTTGGTTATATTATCATTGAATTAGTCAGGCTACCATTCGCGTTGGGCAATTTTGATGTTGATCGCATGTAGATTTGCGTAGGTGCCATTTCCTGCAGAGTTCTCCCCGCATGCTTCTCAGTAAACGGATTTCCCTTTTGCCAGCACACAGCCTTGCATTGCAGCCAGTACTTATTTGCAGGTTATATGAAAGAGAAAGCAAGCGGCAACCAGCCTTTTTCTGTGTCCCCTGTTTTGAGACAGGCCCATATTTTTTCTGCGACGTGGCTGCAAAACAAATCCTGCCATGGCCACCTTAGCGACCCCGCTTCAGCCAGTTCCTTCAGGTGGCGGGCGCCCAGTTGGTCCGTGGGCTCGAATTCTTTGAGGCGCATGGGTACTCATGCCCGGTCAGATGGTACGGGTTTCGCCTGGTACTAATTATCCCGCTATGGATTGCGGATTCGGATTTGGGATCCACCCCGCTGTTTTAGAGCAACCCAGATTGGTGCCCATTTGGAGTGACGATTAATTCAGATTGCAAGTTTTGGCTGATCCCGACACAAAATCAAGATGATAAGACTTGTGTTTCTTGAGCGGCGCTCAAAAATTGCTGTTGTTTCCCAAACAATATTTTGGAAGCTGCACATGACGGGTTGGCTTCAGCAGGGCATGGCAGCTGGTAAATGCCTGTTGTCCTACATCCCTTGCTGCAGAGAAGTAACACGCAAGTCGATCGCCTTCAACCTGGCTGGCGTTTCAGGTAGGCTTTCGGCGGAAAGTCCCAGACAATCAGATAGAATACAAATGTTGAGATTGAGTGTTGAACCAAAAAGGCAAAGTGTTGAGATGTTGATGTTTGCTTTTTTGAAAAGACATACAACATTTAGATTTTAATACTGGGTTTTGATTGTGACTCAGATGGCCCCACCGGACTTAGAGCATGCAGGGTGGGCGGCCGCTTCAGGGCTTGCAGGGTCCTTACCGACAGATGTTGCTGCAAAGAGCTCAGGATGGAAGGTATCGTAACCTCATTGAAGGAAACCCTTACCTCCAGGCTTGTGCACAATCTGTCCCTGATTCAGGCCGGAGTGTGCAGGATTTGATCCCGCAGCGTGTGCAGGATTTGATCCCGCAGCATTTTGTTGACAGCTAGGTATACTGTTTATGTGTTGTTTGGTGATCCATTTGTTCCCACTGGCTGAGCGGCAGTGTGATTGGCACCCCTTTCGTCTTGTGAGGATGCCCGGTGTGATCTTTTCATGTCCATCTGTCTTCGAGAGTCGTTGCCCTTCAATAAAGGCCGACTCTCTTTTTGCTCGGCGTTATCGACCTAATGCTCAAAATCACCACTTTGTTGAACAGTGTAGTGTTTGGCATTTCTATTGGTCATGTCTAATCCAAAGTGTTGGCTTCCCAGCTGTGCACAAATTCTCCAGGCTGAAAGGGACCTGTTTGCACCTTTCCACACGCTTGAGCCAAACGTGGGCTAGACATCCACAAAATTTTCCGCCGCGAAAACCCCCGCGGCTTGGACGCGGAGAGGCCGATGATGTACCACACGCTGGGTGGCTCCGGCCACTGCCAGGAGCATGAGGCCCGACCCTGCGGCTTGGGGGATCTGTTCGTCGAATGGATTCAGTCGAATTGCTCGCGGATGAACATCTGATGAGCTGATTCTGAGGATACCCTGTTAAAACCATGTACAAAGGGTTCCTTGGAACCCCCTCGCTGATACCCCTGGGTAAAGCATTGTTTGGGGATGGTGATAGGAGATGATTGGCTTCGGCAAGGGCGACTCTTGTCCGGCGGGACACCTGCCTTCATTAAGAATTAACACGTCTGATGCCAACAAAGAGTGCAGCGCCTGAAACCCATTTGGAGGAATTCATCCCACACAGCTAGATCAGCTCATGATCATCCAGGAAAAGCAAGCAAACCGGTAGCTTCATGGGCGTCATAAATCAGCAATGCTCTCAATTTCACCAACATCAAGACACCTTCGACGGCGCGTTGTTCATACTCTGTTCACGATGTGGAGCAAACATGTCCGACTGCAAGAAGATGAAGGCTTCGCAAGTTCCCCAGACACACAAGTGCTATCCTTGTCATTTGGTGCTGTGTGTTCTTCGTGTTTGCGAGCTAGTGAAGCGCGCTGGACTCACCTTTCGGAAGACCAGCTTGTCATTTTGGAGATGCGCTCCAAGCTCTGAGTGCTCAGCTCTTCTCATGGTTTGCAGTTTGTGCTGAGGGTGCTGAGCATCTCAGGCATCGAGCAGGGCGTGACATGTCGGATGATGCTTCTCCGCTTTGCGCGCTGTCAGCGAATAGAGTCGTACAGGACAGGCCAAGCCTTCAGCGCTGGGAGGCCGCAGCCTTCAGCTCTCCAGCGTTCCCAGCTTTCCATACCCCTCCAGCCCCGGCTCTCGGCTCCACGACCGGCAGTCCAGATCTCTAAGGCGCAGAAGGTACAATGGTAGGTTCTTTCCACTACCCATGCACCAATGGAAGATGTGTTCCCTTACCCTGGATTCTTTCAAGCGTTGCATGTGCCTGGCGCTAGTTTTTCATGAGTACGGAACCGCCAGGGCCGCATGCGCCAGCCGACGCCGCGGAATCTCTCGCCCGGGCCGGGCCATTACTTCAAGGCGCGAGCCGGGTCGCGGGTGCTCGGGCAGCAATTTCTTCGGACAGTTGACTCCCTGTAATAACTGAAAATTGGGCAGGAGAATGTTCCGAATTCGGACACCCAGGCTCATGAAGCAAATTGAAGCAAGTGGGCAGGGGTCTACAGAGCCTGATTGCTGGGCCTTTTCCAGATCCCAGGGTATCAAGGCAAATTCTAGGATGCCATGTTACCACTGCAAGACCAGACATGGTTTCTGTGGCTTAACTGATGCATTTCTGTTCGTTCTACTGTTGCAATAGCAAGCAAGGGCAGTTGTTTGGAAAGAGAGGTAGCCCGGATCGATCCAGAATGGAGGACAGCAAAAAAGCTCTTCATTGTTCATTGAGGCTGTTGGCTGACAAGCGAGGGAACCGAGCAGGGGCAACTGATCTTTCGCTAGGGTTCGGACCCCATTTCAGTCTTAAGAGCCCTCGAGAAGTTCATCTTGCCACTTCGCTTTTTCGGATTGCTCGACGCCGATATTTCTTGTAGCGTTCGTTCCATGCTTTGCGGGCCACTGTTTCCAGGTTTCGCTGAAATCCTTGCCACTTCCCAGCCAGATGAAGCTAGCTTTGGCCTTGTTTTTGCTACAGTGGTGATTTTGATCGAGCACCCGTCACATGAATTCCCCTCCCCCCACTGTGGCAACCTTTGCGCAGATCCTTCCTCAAACACATTAGACAGAAGGACCCTTCAAGGAGTCAAGTGAGCTTCAGCAAGCAAGCCTGCAAGCAAGCCTGCAAGCAAGCCTGCAAGCAAGTGCCCAAGCCGCAGGACAGCGACTGCGGAGTGTCCATCTTTTCGGACTACGGGCGACCCCAAGGGCGCCAAGTAGTCTGATGCCAACAGAAGTCGGCTCACGGAACTCCAAGTTACGGACAGAAGCCACGAAAAGAACGGAGCTCTTCCCAGCACCACCCAAACACCCATGTGGAAAATACCAAGTGCTGTCCTGGTGGAGGGGTGCTGGTCTAGTTAAAACAGACTTTGTGGTGGTATCTAGTATCCATGTTGATGCTGGCATCAGTGGAGCGTCACAGCATGCATGTTGAACTTTCAAGTCTTGGGTGTGGGGAGTCTCGCTGTCTTACCTGTGGATAGAGAGCGCCACATCTCCAAAGCCGACTTGCCTGTGGCATCCGCGTCGGCCGCGGGAATCGGACCTACTGAGCAAAAACGCACAAGGAGTAGGTAACACTGTGGGTGTTGGAGCCATCAGGAGGCCGGGAAAGGCAAAGATGTACCAAGATTGCTTAATAAATCCGCCATTGGTTTCTTGCAACAGCAGTTCACCAATGCTGTAAGGCCCTAATCGACAGTGGATGAATATGCCCTGAGCGTATGACCGCATGACTTTGGCTTTCAACGAGGCCTGAATGGTAGCCTTACATTCGCAGACCAGATAGAGTGAATAATGCTGCTTAGAAGGGCCAGCCATATTCATCAACAAGAGGCACACCGTTGCTCGTACATGCAGACGAATACCAACACCTATATGTACGATTTAAGGGTTGGTCAAGTGTCAGCCTAGTATATGTTATTTGGTATTTATGTTCATGGCAGTTCATATACCTCAATGGACGATTAGCGGCCGCTCGCTTGTTGCGCACCGCAGCATGTCTCACCGGGATCAAGAGGTTGGCAGCCGCTGGAAATTGGCAAGAGAGGAGTTCAGCGGTCGCTGTTCCATCAATCGGGCACAGTTTGTTTGAATTGGCAACTTAAACGTAGTCTAGGTCCCCCAGTAGTGCCCTTTTACCCTCTTTTGGGGGAGGGTTGCCCCTACTAAAATAGACTACAGAAAAAGGGTACCCTTATTCTAACCTCTCTACTGGAGGACCTAGTAGTGTACGCTGTGTGTAGTCATGAACATTCTTGCATATTGCATGAACCTTCAGTGGTGCTGTCGGATGCCACCAGTCACATCCGCGCGGAGAGATATACCGATATGCCTCCGATGTAGAGCCCCGCGGAAACTCGGGGTGATTGACAGCGTGTCTTTCCGCAGCGAATGCACGAAGAAAGCACAGCGGGGGGAGTGGCTTCTCCGTTGCAACCTGGTTGCGCGAAGCTTCGGATGGAGAAAGCGTCGATAATTTCTAACGCGCCATGGGCTGAGCATAACGAGGCAGACGCAAGCCAGGAGAAGCCCAGGCCCGTGATGTGTTCTTAGCTCTCGCCATATTTTCCTTATGAAGGTAGACGTTTCGTGGAAAGCTCCCTGACTCGGCTATGCAACAAACCCTGAGAATGAGACTCTCCGCAACAATTGGTGAACTGGGACAGTGGGTTCATGATGCCAGGAACAGATCCTTAATCGAGAAGTTCCCAAGAGGAACAGGTGTCCGACGTGCGAAGGAAGCCCGTCTTTTGCACAGCATCACACGCATCCAGAGCAAACAGGATCAACTCTGGAATCGGCTTGGGACTTGACAGAAGAACCCACTCGTGATTGATCAGTTCTATCAGCTGGATCCTTGACTATTTTTCTATGAGATTGTAATCCGGATTGCTTCAAAGTTCGCCATAACTCCAGCATACTCCAGCTTGCCAGATTCAACCCGCCCCTTGAGCTCGGAAAGCATGGCCGTGGCTCGATAGAGTTCACAGGGGCTCCTTTTGAGAGCCATTGACTCATTTTTTGAAGTGAATCCCCAAAATGGAACAGCCCACTTGCAACTGCCACAACCAGGGTGTCAGAGGGTCATGCCAATTGACTGCCAAAACGTTGCTAATTTGACAAAAAGTCCGGATCTCAGGCAGCTCGAATATTCAGTGTGTAAGTGAGTAGGGCGACTAATGTTCTGCAAATTCTGAAGGGTTTGGCCATGCCGTTGAACTTGTTAAGCCAGCTGAATGCGAAGAAGACAGGTTGGGCATGTCCACCAACTGCAGGCAGGTGACAATTCCTAAAGGAAAGCCCAGTCGAAAGTGAGATACGACGAGCGTCAACCACTGCTGAACACATCAGACTCGAGCACTGAGCAACAGCGCCAGGTCCCGTCACTTCAAATGTGTTGGGACATGCAACCTGCTGGAAACGTAGCAACTGCCATTGCAGAGTAGCCACTCGTACTGAGGCTGTGCAGTCTTTTTCCGCTGTTGGTCAAGCGGGGCATTCCTTGATAAGAGGCTGGCACCCGCCCAACGGGAACTGCACATGCCAACAATGACAAGTTGAGGTTGTTGTTCAAAGCGTCCATGCCTTGGCATTGTGTGCTCCATGGATGCAGCACAGACAGAGGTACTCGTAACTGGCTTGGCCACTGCACCAGCCACACTGCAAGCAATGTCGCGGGCCAGACACGCCCTGTTTGCAAAGGCCTGAGGGACAAAGGGCGAGCAAGGGAACTGGTTGTTAGGTTAGCTACAACTTTCCAGCATCATGCTATGAAGCTCACTCAAGGCAAGAGTGACCTTGGGCAATCCAGCTTAAAGTTGCTGTGAAGCGGTGGGATAAAAAACAATCCGTTCAAAACACGAGCATAGACCTCCTGGCAAGCGGTTGGTGAACTATCATAGTTCCCCAATGCTTAGCAGGGAGCTCCTACTGGCCATGTCTTCGGGTAGGTCAAGCCCAACATGCCAAATCTGTTAACTGATGTGTGGGAACTGCAACGGAAGAGCCGTGTATGGAGGAATGTCGGCATCTCAGTCAATGAGACTAGTCATGAACGTGTCTTCCACCCTTCATCACCGTTTCGACAAGGACAGGCAACCAATACCATCTCCCATGCAGTGGAATTGACCACACTTTTCATAGTCTTCTCCAGACCTGTGGTCTTATTCATGAGTTTGACATCATCCAGGATACGTTCTCACCCATGAACACTGAAATGGCAGGCACAGCTCCAGACTGGGTTTGCCAAGCAGAAAGTGCTTGTCAGATTGTCGAGCAATTACGCCTCTTTGCATGCGCTGGACAAGTCAAATCCATGGGCATAAGCATGGACTGCATGAGACAAATGTGTATCCGCTTCGCGCCGATCCATGCGGCCGATTTAGATTTTTCAACCGAGTGTCTCGGGCGACTCCTCCCGCGACTTGGCTGCTCTTAGCTGGATTCTGAACCTTGTAGCTTTTTGGGAATATGTGAATATATATATATATATATATTGCCTCGGGATCGATGGAAATCAAAAAAGAGCTCAAACTGGTTTGCACCAGTTGTGTCCTTTTTATGTTGTTTTGGTGAACAGATGGCCCTTGACATGGTTGTTTCATAACCTCCCAAGGTTTCAGAACGCCATCGATTTTCCCAAGAAACCACGACCCATGGTTTGCCGCGTGGGCCTAAGGCGAGATGCTTCGTCGGCTGCCGTCTTCCCGCGTTTGGCAATGGGGTGCCTTCGCATCCAAGGCCCCGCGCCAGGCGCCGAGACTTGCGAGCCGCGTTCCGGAGGTCCAGGCGGCGCCGCATGAAGCTCGGCGGCTGGAGACGTGTGTCCTTGAGCGGTGGAACATGGGGTAGTTCTGAAAACGGGGACGTGCACATCTGGTTAGAGTCTGGGAGATACTACACACACACACACCGACACACACACACACACAAAACCTGCTTGGTTTGGGACTGGCTGCTGAGTGAAGATGGTTGGCTGGAATGGATGGTCGGTGGGCAAGCATAGGGATAGGGGCAGAGAGCACATTGGGGCAGGTGAGGGGCTAGCAATTTGCTGAGCAGGCTGAAGGCTGGGCACCGTGGTGGTTGTTCTCTTTACTTTTTAGTTTGGCCCATGTGCTGCTGCTTGCTCAGGAGAACATGCGCGCCTTTGCCGTACAGAGGAGATGGAACAGCTCCCCACCACTTTCGGGAGGTTGCCTCGAGAAGTACGGGGAGCTGAAGACCAAGGGAGAGATCCAAGAGGACCCCAGGCAGGAGGTGTGCATGAAGATGCTGGATGACTTAGCCAAGCAGCTGGAGGGCTACTCCCCAAAGATGACCCGGGCTCCCAAGGCCGCTCCACCCAAGGCATCCTCCGGTGGGCTTTTCGGTGGTCTCTTTGGAGGGAGCAAACCCAGCACGCCCAAACCACAGGCAGACGCCCCTGCAATCCTTCAGCCTGTGCCGGGCCAGAAGGGGCTCTACCTCTGGGGCGGCACCGGAACTGGCAAGACCTTCATGATGAACATGTTCTACGACAAGGTCAAGGTTTCCGGCAAGAAGAGGATTCACTTCCACGAGTGGATGATTGATGTGCATTCAAGACTGCATAAAAAGCAGAAGGGCAGCAGCTCAAACACCAACAGCACGGCAGATGACTTGGTGGAGCAGGTTGCCGCGGACATGATCAAGGAGGCGTGGCTACTGTGCTTCGACGAGTTCCAAGTCACCCACATCAGCGATGCCATCATCATGAAGCGCATCTTCTCTGTGCTCTTCGAGCTTGGGGCCGTGGTAGTGGCCACTTCCAATCGTCCGCCAAAAGACTTGTATCTCAATGGATCTTCAGATGTCCAGATGGCAACCTGTTGGTTTTCTTCCGCTTTTAGTTTACTTTCGGCCGTTTGAAAAAGTCAGCCAAAGTTTGTCAGAATACTGTGAATGGACAAACTCCTGCACCATTTGGGATGGATGACGCCCCATGTCTACTCGAATACACCGTAAACCCACCAACTGGTACGAACTGGATGTTGTCCATCAGTAGTTTGGTCGCGTGTTTTGGGGGGGTGGGGGGTGGGTGGGATGTTGATTTTGGAGCACCTGAAGATAGTGGCTTTCCTTTTGGTTTCTCTTGAAAACCACAAAACATGGCTCACAATCAAAAAGGACACCATGTTTTCGTTTCGGCCCGGCTTGAGGACTCAACCGGCCCTTGTTCACGCCCTTCATTCCCATGCTTGAGGCCTTTTGCCAGGTGCATGACATTGGGGCAGAGGTGGACTACCGGATGTGCTTCTGGAATCAGTGAAGGAGTCCGTCGTTTTTGCCGTTTTTGTTCTTTCTTTTTGTTTGGGCGGGTAGTTGTTGATTCCTCGTGTTTCTATTGGAGTCAATACCCAGAAAACGGTTCGTGTTGGAACGCCAAACCGGGCATTTGGAGGCTGTCCCTGTCGTTTCTCCCAGCCTAAGGCTCCATCAGGGATGATGAGGATGACAGAGTTTACATCTCACCCAATGGCCCAGATGAGAAGAAGCTGCTGGAAGCCAAGTTTGCCAAGATCTGCGGCGGCCATGTCCGCTTCGGCGTGCAGGTGGAGACTCAGGGCCGAAGGATTGTGGTCCCAAGGGTGGCTGAGAACTCGGACGTGGCATGGTTCCACTTCTCGGATCTTTGTGACAAGCCGCTGGGGGCGGCCGACTACTTGGCCCTAGGCCAGGCCTTTCACACAATTTTCGTCGCGGACATCCCGCGGCTCACCATGCAGGAGCGCGACCAGGTGAGGCGCTTCATCACATTGATCGACACCTTGTACGAGAGTCACGCCAAGTTGATTTGTGCGGCAGATCTGGACCCCATTTCCCTTTTTCATGTGACGGAGGAGGAGCGCAAGACCTCGGTGGCAGACGAAATTTTTGCTTGGGACCGCACAGTGAGCCGGCTCATGGAGATGCAGTCGGCCGCCTATTTGAGCGCTGCGAGCAGGGCGTTGAGTGCGGATCAATTCCTTGGGCAGTACAAGCTGAAGAGCTTGTCGGACCAGGACACCGGAGTTGTTTTACCTGCAAATCGCCATCAACCCCAGAAGATTTCGAGGCAAGAAAAGCAGATTTGGAGCACTAGCCCGCTGGCCATTCCCACTAATTGGGAAACTGGCAAAGTGTCGTTCCATCTTGGAAAGGGGGCCTGTTGTCTCTTTCAAAAAGACCTGACCCTCAAAGAAACAAAGTTGACAAGGGGACCCTCAGACTTTGATTGAACATGTCCTCTTCAGCCTTCAGGGGGGAAGTGTTTGCTTGACAAGATTTAGGTTCGGTCAATGTTGCAGGATGTTGCGATGTTGCAGGTAGGCTGTAGTCCATTGAGCGACACGTGAACTCTGTAAATGACCAGGGATGTTCATGGGATTTATCCACGTCGGAGGGTACGAGTAGCACATGTGACCCGTGTTTGCACGGGCGTCTGGAGGACTTCAAAGATTTGTGGCGGCGCTATGATCAGGATGACAACGGCGTCCTGGATATGGAGGACAGTCGAAACGCTCTCTGGAGGTGGTCCGGGTGCAATATGAGTGGTGTCCTTTCTCAACCAACATGCTGTAACTTTTATGTATACATGTGTATGTATATATATATATGTATGTGTGGCAGGGCCAGGGACCTGTTGGAAACATTTGCCAGTTCAGCTCTTGCTCCTCATCAGACTGCTTTTGACGAGGCCTGCATGCCTCTTCAACTCAAAGGGGTCTTGGGAGCCTTTCAAGTATTCAACATTTACAACAGAACCACAGCATGCGCGATTCTTGATTCGAATGCGCTACGCATGCGGCCTACCAAATGAAGGCCAGCGCTTTGCTTAGCTTGGACAACTTGGCCACTTCGCTCATCTCTTCGCTGCTGGAGCGGTTTGTCCTCATCACTCATCCATTCCCAACCCCATCTAGAAGACCAAGCAACTTTTAACAGATGAAGACGGGTTTGGCTACTCTCCTTCCTCTTCCCTCACCCTTTCATGGAAGTAGATACTAGATGGAAAGGGATGAGGAAGGGCCATCTCTTTCTCTCGTGTACCCACTCTCTCCGTTCGTTTATGCGACTCCAAGAGCTGACAGGCGGTGGAGAGAGGAATGTGAGAGAAGAGGCCCATCGCCTGCAGACGGTTGCAATTGATAGATGCCGACGGGAGAAAGAAGTGAGCGGGTGAGGGACTCATCCACCATTTTATCTATCACTTCCTTCTCCGCTCTTCACCATCTTCTCTTAGGATCGGGTTTGTGCCCCTCTTTTCCTTTTTTACCTCTCGCCTCATCATTGTCTGACATGTTTTGATGGGTGACGGGAGAGAGGAAGGAAAAGAGACGGAGGATGGGGTTGGGTCTCTTCGCTCGTGCTCGCTCCCCCCCCCCTGCATCTCTCGTTCGTCCCTCACCTCCAAACCATTCCTACGGGAGGAGATAGGACGAAGGAAGGAGAAGGCGGGGGATGGAAGGTTGGCTCTTCTCCCTCTCTCATTTATCTCTCTGTACTTCCAGAAATGTCCAGGCACTGAAGATTATTAGCCCTGGATGGGTTTTCAGGTGTTTGTGTGTCTTTTCTAGGGGACCCCCCAAAGATGGTGGCTTTCCTCTTGGTTTTCCAATACCACCCCCAAACCCTCAAAAGGTAGCAAACAACGACAGCCCCATCTGTTTCTGGCCAATGGAAGTGGCAGGCAACTGGTTTGGTGCGGACAAGCGCCAGGAGTTCCAGATCCTGTTGGGGGACTTGATGGAGCTGCAGGTGGGCCACCGCAACATCTCGGAGGAGCTTTTCCAGGCAGGAGAAACCAAAAAAAGCCACAGGCAGTGCAGCGAAGGCTGCTGCTTGCGGTAAAAAGCACAAGTTGGTCCGGACTGGGGATCTTTGGGGGTCCTGTTGCCCAGGCAGGTGGGCGGGCTTGGGACAACATGCCTGGTGAAGCCAGAAACGGCTCCTCGTATCATCCTGTTTTAGATCTCTTTTTGGATCAGGGCCCTTACAATATTTAGTTTATTGATGTTGTCTAATGAAGTTTGTCAGTGTTGGAAATGTTTTACAGATGCCTTGTTTTGATAGCAGAGCAAGATTGAACATGACACCCAATAGTTGTGCGGTCGGCCTATACGGAGGCCGTCAGCATGGCTGCCAAAAGGGCTGAAAGCACCAGTCTGGTGCATGCCTGATCATTCAACAGATCCCAGCCTGCACTTCAGTCTGCTTCCTAACTACCCCAAGGAATCCCTAAACTCCGGATTGGTTGATCTTTTCAACCGAGAAACCTTGCAACCTTGGGATATGCAAAAAATCGCTCCTGGCATTATTCCCTTTGGCGCTCAGAAACTTCTTGCGCAAGCCGTGCGGACCCGTTCAAACAGGCAAGGAAACCCGCAAAGGGCCATAGCAAGCACATGCAGTAGCAAGCCTCTAATAGTCGAGACCGATTTGTCGTCGGCAAAACAGAGCTTTGGAAAACGAATCAAAGAAGCTTGGCAAGTTATCAGGTAACCCCCAATTGGTGATTTAACATGGTGGAGTGCGGATTTGAACTTGTAGAGGTTAATTAAATGGGAAACCCCCCCCGAACCCCAACCCCCCCCCCCCCGAACGTCAAACCAAACCACCATCACATTGCACTCACGTGCTGTTGTTATCGGGATGCTGCATGTGTGTGTGTGTGTGTGTTTGAATAAGAGTGCATTCTGTTGTCCGTCACCTCACAAAGTCATCTGCATCAGCATTAACAACACGATCTTCAGTATTGACTTCATCATAGGAATCATCAGCAACAACCGCTAAAACAACCACCATCACCATAAAGAAACAGCAACAATCAGAACAACAGCCAGCCGCCACCGCCACCGCAGCAACAGCAACAGCAACACAACGACCACAAGCACCACACCACAACCATCATGACCACCAGAACCACCAGAACCCCCGCAACACCGACACCCACGACCCACGACAACCCCGACAACGATGACAACCACGACAATCCTAACAACAAAAGCCACGGCGGCCACAACTACAGCCATCAACCGCAGCTACCCTCAACCAAGCACAATCCCCAACAACAAACATCGCCACCGCGCGCACCACAGCCAATCACAACAAATGCACCATACCATAGCCGCCAGTGCCACCACCGCCCACACACCCCCCCTTGCCACACCAAAGCCACTGCCGCCCTGCCACCCAGCATTGCGATTGCCGTTAGCATTAGCAATAGCACGAGCAAGAACAGCAAATCTTCAGCTTGTGCTTTTGTAGGTTAGCCCTGGTTGCCGCAGGTTTGTTTGGAGGACCTCCACAGCCATGGGCAGACGGTGACCTTCCAGGCCGATGGGGGGCTGACTGTTCATGGTTTGCATCCGGCAGCCATTTTGAAGATTATGCGAACAAGTGAGCCCACAAGAGCATGCCTCACATGGAACGAATCAATGGAGTTGTTGGGCGAGTTTTTTTTGAGGTTTGGAGTATACTAAGTTCTACGTGGTTGCTTCCGTTTGGCTTTAAGCCGATACGTGCTAAACACGTGCTTGTCTTTGGTGTGACAACCCGCAGGCCCTCAGATGCAGATGACGAGACTTGGACCTTTCGGAGTGATTCCCACGCTTGTTTGCAAATGAAAAGTGGACCCACACATTGCAGACCTTCACACCCATGGCACAGAGAACTAGTCCAAGAAGCTGTGTATGTCGTAAGGGTTATGGATGTTTGGGTTGGTCTCTCTGGCCAGTGCACTTCCACCCTCTAACATGTCACCTGTGCGAGGGCACCTGGAAGATCTATTTCCCCCTGAAGGGACCCCCTGGTCGAGGACAACATTCCTGCTTGTTCGGTAGGCCATTTTTGTGATGTGTATCAAAGCGTGGTCTGTTGCAACGTTGTAAAACGAAGAGTTGGAAGCTCAGCTTTTGCTGATTGATCCAGTATATCTTGCTTTCGCGGAGAGGCGGTTGGTTGTTTTGGTGCCCCTTGGACGGTCTTTGGGTTTTCCAATTCCGCTTGCCTCAGTTTGCCCTCTCAAACCCATTGGGTCCTCTCTTGCATCGGATGTTAGCGTCTCCCCAAAGTCCACCGGGCCCAAACCGTCCCCGCAAGCGCGAGCCTGTGAGCCGGCCAGGACTTCCAGAGGTACTTGGGAGACTTCGCCACAATTGAGACAGTGATCCAGGAGCAGCTTGGCAAAAGCACGAGTCGGCAAGTTGCGCAGTGCGACGTCTTGGGGATATCACCTGGGTTCGGGATTGCAGCTGGCGTCCTTCCGAAAATTCTAATGGCCCTCCCATTTGGAAGATTCAAGGTGAATCTGATGAATCTGTGATTTCCATGATTTCTCTATCTCCGCTCGTGTGAAGGCAGAAAAACTGCAACGGGATCTGAGGCACTTGAGGCCCGCCACGGCTCCCCAGCGCGCTATGGCGTGATGGGCAGAATCCTGTCTCACCAGGGAACGCTCAAGGGCGGCGGGTCCTTCGCATGTCATTTGCATCATTGACTCTCTCTCTTCTCTCTCTTTCTCTCTTGTTTTCTGTGTCTCTTTCTCTTTCTTTCTTTTGATTTCTCTTTGGGTGCTGTGGTTATCGTGCATATTCACCAAGCTCATAAGCCAGCAGCAGTATAGCCATCAGCAGCAAAATGCCTTTTGTTGGCGCAAATGGCGCGATCGGAAACTATCTGATATTATCTCAGCTGCACTTTCGGGTTGAGACTTCCGAAGAACCTGCCAAGAGGTGTGCCACTGATGTGACATTGAATTCAACAGTTGTGTTTGTTTGGAGCAACCTTGGGACACCTTGCTCTATGATTCTGAGGCTTAGTTCGACTGGCTGGCTCTCTGGACGCCGTAGGATCGTAAACATGCGATCTGTACCCAGAGCAGGAACAGTACCAGGAAAGGGTTCCTTTCAGCCTCGCGCAGGGGTTCACTTGGCGAGGGAAGGCATGTCCAGCTTTGTCCATTTCGCTTTTGCATTCGGCATGGGCCTCCACAGCCTTCATGAGTCGTGAATCCTGCCTGCATACCGATAATTCACGGGTGGTCAGTGGCCTGCCCATTTTCCCGTTTTTTCTGACGCGGGGTGTCCTGAAAAGAGCCAACACACCGGGCCCCAGGTTTTCGCTTTGACCACTGGACAGCCTGCAGCTCTTGATCGACTTTTGGCTTGAGCATCCCTGCCTCGCCATTTTCCCCAGGCAACGTTTCACCCGAGACGGCGAGACGGCGTTGGCCTCTCTTGCGTCCAAAGCCACGCAGCCACGCCCGCAGCTTGACAGGTCGGCTTGTTTGTCTTTTGGTGAGGGTACCAGTATTGGGCTGATTAAGAGAAACCGGTTAACACCACGTGGAGGTTTCCCTAGTCTGACGCACAAATGACTTGGGGTGATCGTGCGGACCAGCGATCTATGAAGACATGCCCATAGGATCATGTATTTTTTGGGTTTGGCCTGTTTCGTCCTGCCCGTGATCGCATTTCTTTGCTAGCTGTCAGTCCTTTGGATATATTCGCTAGGACTTCCTCAATTTTGATGTCCCATGAAGCACCTCTGTAGAAGTCAAACAAACGATGTTTGGAGTTGTTCGAGTTTGTTCTTGCGAGGGACCCCCGAAACAGGCGGGTGGACAGAAACCACCCATGTAAATGATTTGCACCAAAGGGTCCTCAATCAAAGCTCATTCCCAGTTGTGCGCAGGTGTGTGTACTCTCTTTGCGTTTGGCTGTTGCCCGATTCTGCAAGACTGTAGGGAGACTCTGCGCATCAGAACATATGGCATGCCCTGCTTAGAGTAATTAGGGGAGTCTGCCGAGGGGCAGCGAGTTCGACTCCCCGGTCTTTTATGCAAATGGCTCAGGCACTCCTTTGGCTGAAGGCCCCGCAGCCCATAGCCAACGATCTTTCACAGATGCGTGCGGATATTCATGTCATTCTGAATGGAAGCTTGTAGCTGATGTAGCTGGATTTCCTCCTTGTAGCCATTTTTGCAACTGGCCACGCGAGATGTCCCTACTTCAGACGTTTTGTTTCATTGCGCCCCATCAAACACTTGAGTTTGGGCGGTTTCACGGAGAATGCAATACGGAAACGAGGGGCCCAAGCAATCTTGACATTTGTCTTCAGGTTGCATTTATTTGACGAGGTTGTGGTTCCAAATTTAAGGGCTCCGGAAGTTAATTGGGTAAAGGTAATAGCCAAGACCTGTCCCTGTCCATCTGCTACGGCAGGCACCGATCTTGCGCGTGGCGTACGTCCCCGGCTCTGAGCGGTCTACCTAGTGATCCGCTGTATGTGCTGTCGGACAGTAAAATGAACCCGTGTTGCAAAATGTGTGTTTGTGTGGGTGTCAAACTAGGGGGCGGCTTTCCTTTTGGTTTCCCTTTCAACCAACCATTTTAGGGTACTTACCAACAAAAATAATCACACCCAAACGATTGTCACCGCATGGTCGTTCAGGCTGCGCACAGCCTGGCGGTCGCTCTCCATCACCCATGCCAGCTGACACACCCAGAGCCCATGCCTGGAAATTAATCGCAAGCATGCTCACGCGCCCTCCTGCACTGCCGCCTTTCAATTTGGATGCGTTACTTGGGAACCCATGCCTGCCAAAGTAGTCAGAAACACGCTTATGCGCATTCTGGCCGACTTGGTTGATTCAGATTGATCACATGCACACCTGCGTGCACCTCGGCGGTCTTAGCTTAGCAGCCAATTTCAGGGCAACTGATCGTAAACTCGCTCGGGTGCGCCTCAGCTCTGTCACTCCATGTTGCTCCCATCACTAGAAACCCGTGTTTGCCAAAATTATGAATGCTAGTTTCCGAATGGCACCGCAAAATGTGCGGCCTCATGTTGCAGGCCAATTGGCTCAAGGGCATCTTTTCGGATGTCCGAGATGATACGTCGCCAGCTCGTGCGCTTCCTACCGCGGCTGTTGCCACGCGCGCAGCCGCACGCCCGGGCCGCCAGTGGTTTGTTGTGGGGTGCGCCCGCAGCAAACGGCCGACTGGCACTAGGCAGCGGGCGAAGATGGAGTAGCTCCGCGCCGATGTCGGGAGGTTGCCTCGAGAAGTACAGGGAGCTGAAGACAAAAGGGGAGATCCAAGAGGACCCCAGGCAGGAGGTGTGCATGAAGATGCTGGATGACTTGGCCAAGCAGCTGGAGGGCTACTCCCCGAAGATGACCCGGGCTCCCAAGGCCGCTCCACCGAAGGCATCCTCCGGTGGGCTTTTCGGTGGTCTCTTTGGAGGGAGCAAACCTAGCACGCCAAAGCCAGCAGATGCCCCTGCAATCCTTCAGCCGATGCCAGGGCAAATTGGTCTCTACCTCTGGGGCGGCACGGGAACTGGCAAGACCTTCATGATGAACATGTTCTACGACAAGGTCAAGATTTCCAGCAAGAAGAGGATTCACTTCCACGAGTGGATGATTGATGTGCATTCAAGACTGCATAAAAAGCAGAAGGGCAGCAGCTCAAACACCAACAGCACGGCAGATGACTTGGTGGAGCAGGTTGCCGCGGACATGATCAAGGAGGCGTGGCTACTGTGCTTCGACGAGTTCCAAGTCACCCACATCAGCGATGCCATCATCATGAAGCGCATCTTCTCTGTGCTCTTCGAGCTTGGGGCCGTGGTAGTGGCCACTTCCAATCGTCCGCCAAAAGACTTGTATCTCAATGGATCTTCAGATGTCCAGATGGCAACCTGTTGGTTTTCTTCCGCTTTCAATGTTACTTTCAGCCATGTCGCAAGAGTTGAAGGAAAAGTCGGTCATAGTTTGGTCTTGCTTGCGCTTTGTTCCTTTGGACCCAGGACTGAACCGGCCCTTGTTCACGCCCTTCATTCCCATGCTTGAGGCCTTTTGCAAGGTGCATGACATCGGGGCAGAAGTGGACTACCGGATGTGCTCCCAAGATGAGCAGTGAATCTGTTTACTTTGCTTTCAATGGGATTCCGACCAAAAAAAAGGCAAGCAACTCACAAAAGGTGGCCTGAGTCTGCTTAACATCCAAGGCTCCATCAGGGATGATGAGGATGACAGAGTTTACATCTCACCCAATGGACCAGATGAGAAGAAGTTGCTGGAAGCCAAGTTTGCCAAGATCTGTCAGGGCCATGTCCGCTTCGGCGTGCAGGTGGAGACTCAGGGCCGAAGGATTGTGGTCCCAAGGGTTGCTGAGAACTCGGACGTGGCATGGTTCCACTTCTCAGATCTTTGTGACAAGCCGCTGGGGGCGGCAGATTACTTGGCGATTGGTCACGCGTTCCATACAGTCTTCATTGCGGACATCCCGCGGCTCACCATGCAGGAGCGCGACCAAGTGAGGCGCTTCATCACATTGATCGACACCTTGTACGAGTCCCATACCAAGTTGATTTGTGCAGCTGACCTCGAGCCCATCCCGCTGTTTCATGTGACGGAGGAGGAGCGGAAGACCTCGGTTGCCGATGAGATCTTTGCTTGGGACCGTACTGTTAGCAGGCTGATGGAAATGCAGTCAGCCGTGTATTTGAGTTCAGCTGTCAGGGCATTGAGTGGAGATCAGTTCCTTGGGCAGTACAAGATGAAGAGCTTATCAGACCAAGATTTCAAAGACCTGTGGCGCCGGTATGACCAGGATGACAGTGGTTTCTTGGACATGCGCCTTGTCCCGATTCAAGTCATGCTGGGGGCCATAGCTTTGACCCGGCCTGTACGACTCGGTTGGGTTGCTTGCAAGTTACATGTTGCCAAAGCCTGGAACATGTACGGAACCAGACTGGACCGTGTCTACACCTTAGGTGTTAATATATCGCAATAGAAATTGACTGATGTCATGAAAAAGCATTCTGGTACGCTGTTTCCGTCAGTTTGTTGACCGTTTGGGCGATGCTTCCCCGGGACACTGGAACCTCTGTCACTTGTTGGTAAATGTTTCTTTGTGGGAGCACTTGATTGGTTGTTCTAATATAGCGCCTGGAGATTTTGCTCATATTCCAGCAGAATGTCAACTCGTACGCTAATGCGCTCTCTGAAGATCCACAAAATACCCTTTGACGTTGAGACACATGTTTGATACAAGACTGCAGCCGCACATGCTTGACCATTCAAGCGAACATGTTGACTAAAGCTCAAGATCCATTTAGCGGGCAATTGTTTCAAGTCGCTTCAGACCCAGATGGCTGTGGGTCGAAACCAATGGGATCCCATTTTGGGGTAGGTGCACCACCCATTTTACTGTATTTTAGTGGATTGGGTCCCGTTTGGGGGTACGGGCTTTGGATTTTGACCCATGCCCAGATCTCGCCGCGGGATCTGAGGGACGAGTTCCGGCTCCTCCTCGAGGACTTACTGGAGCGCCAGTGCGGGCACCGCAACGTCTCGGATGAGCTCTTCGAGATTTGCCGGGAGGCGTATTTTTGCGCGCGCCACAAAGGGGTTCGGGATGATATTTTTGAGGGTGTTTTTTTTCTTGGGGTTGGTGTCCCTCGAAAGGAAACTCCACATAGCCGTATGGCTGACCTTTAACTTGGAGTCCTGAAAGAGACACACAACTTCATGTTGGAAGGGCGTACTGGGCGACAGCACCACCGAGCACATTTGGCTCGGGATTCGATGTTTGATGTTTCAAGGCCAGCTTCGGATGGGAGGCGCTGGAACTCAGTGCAGATGTGGTTTTGTGTTTCATGTGTTTTCGAGCGGGCCGTTTGAGAAGAGCTTTTGTTGCTAAAGCTCCATGCCCACTTGAGCGTCTTCGATCACAGACGTCAGGTTCAATTGAAGAATTCACGCCTTTCCGTGGGCTGTCTATGTCTCCAAAGCTGCCCCAAAAGGGAAAGGGTGTAGGAGTTTGCTTTGAGGAATTATTTTCGGGATGGTAAAGTCAACAGGATGTGGGATGATGATTTGGACAGAGACAGGCATTGGGCCTTAATGAACAAATTCTGACAAGTTGCATTTCCACGAAGATAATCTCTGAACGTGGTGTGTGTTCTAGCTTTGCTTGCGCGACTTGCCTTTCAGCTTTCCTGCATGCTGGGCCCTGACGAGGCCATCGATTTGAACAAGGATGGCAAGGTGAGCTTTGATGAATTCCAGCAATATTTGTCCGACTTTTCGACAATCGAATCGACGATGGACAAGAATTGAAGCTCCGACCTGACCATCAACGTTCCATGCAAAAATACATTCAATATGTATATAGTATAGATATATGTATATTATAGTTGAGCATTGTTTTTTGCCAGCGAAAAGCCACCCAGTAAAAAGGCGACAAGACGGCAGCACATGCGCTCCTTTCAGGAGCCGCTGCAGGGGGGGTAAAGCAGCCAGTCTAGGGTGAAGTTACTGCTGCCTTAAAATCACCCCTCCCCCTAACGCACTGCCTTGTGGAGAAGTGAAGCCACAATGGCCATCATGAGCGACAAACATCATAGTCGGACAGGAAAGCGTCGGCAACGTAACGACGTCCGCAGTAATGGGCACATGGAGATGCAAAGAGACAGGAATTGGGGGAGACAGGGTTAGCTTTGCTTTGAGTCTTCCCTGAACATGGATATGCGTGATAATATGTGTATATAGTAATTATGTACACGCATAGAAGAAGCTTGTATTTTCTTGCACTACATCTGCGTTGCCGGCTTTTTTTGGTGACTTAAATGCCTACCCGAAATTCTTGGAGCGATATGGTGCAATTTACAGGACAAGATACCATGAAACTTGCGGATCGGGACTTGCCGAGCCAAAAAGAAATGGTAGGATTCGAGATGTTGTCCCGCTGTCGTCCTTCTTCAGTGGCTGGTTTGAACACCGACGTTTGCGTGCATGAATCTAAGTGTTTGTTCCCCAAACAGGTGTCTACACTAATGGGGTGCTTACGGTGAGAGAACAGGGCCGAGGCGCAGGCTCGCAAAGTTCCGTAGAGATGTTCATGCGCATTTCGGCTGCTCACGCTCGCGCAAAGCGCTTGGACCAGTTTAGTGTTTTTTCAGGGTGTTCTCTCGCTGTGGCGCCGTGCAAATTCCGGTGGGTCGGATCGCTTTCAATGCTGACATTGAGGACAGGACCTGCAAAAAAGTTCTCTGCAAAAGATCTTGTATATTGTGGCATGTTTATTGAGTTGGATACATGTTGGAACAATGCTTTGGGTGCACACGCTAAAAAAACATGTTTGGCATTTATGTAAGTAGTTTACGTTGAAGGACGCTGGCAAAAATAGATCCCGATTTTTACGTGTGGATTGTGTGTTATTTAAACAATATTGTTGGGAAGTTTGAAAGCCCAACGTTGTTCAACAGATTCGTGCCTGACTGTCCTACAGCCATTTGAGCTGGCAATATCAGAGACGGTCAGAGACTGCGAAAATCATTCCAGAACCAACCTGTTTCCAACACCTGACCGGCAACGGGCAAGATCCGCCAAGTTTTGCACAGGAAATACCCTGTGCCATGGCCATGGCCGGGCAGACTCTGTCTGTGCATGTGAGGCACGGGCGTTTGGTCGACGTGGGCGTGGGGACTCCATGGTCAGTTGTGCTTGCGTGCAAGTTTAAAGCTGGGCTGCTCACAAAATGCCCGTTGGTCCCGGAATCTGCCAAAAGCAGTTTCATGAGTGAGGCAACTGTAAGCGTGTGTTTTCTGTTGAGGGCACCTTTTTGGGAGGCGGTTTTGAAGGGACAAACTACCTGTTTATTATGTTTTGCGGGGGTCCCCAGGCTGCCTAAGCGCCTGCGCCACGTCCCCTTCGGGCTACATGTCTATGGTGCTGCCGCATTGGAGCAGACAAGACGCTCAGTCAGCAGTCGATGGGTGTGGGCATTGGGTGGTTCCCTCTGGTCCACTTAATTCCACTTACAAGGACCTGGTGCGTTCCATGTTATGGGAGGGCGCCTTTTGCAGGTTTAGCTGTTTTGCTGCCTTGTCTTTTGCACGCTGCTTGCTTTCCTTGCCAGTTTCAGAGTGTGCCATGGGGATTTCATAGTTTGCTCCACATATTGAAACTGTCCAGGAGAATGTGTCAGCTCTTGACTTTCTATTTGTTGCTTCAGTGATTCTTCTTTTCCACGGCTCGCTGCTGGTGCTGCTGCTGCCGCTGGTGGTGGTGGTGGTCATGGTGGTGGTTGTGGTCATGGTGGCCGTTTTATGGGGGTGACGACTGATTGATATTGACCCAACCCTAAGTTGGCCTCATCAACGCTTCATCAATTTCATGCGTGACCTGTCGCTTTTTCAATCGCCGGTTGCAAATTGAGCCCGACCTGTTGGTGACTCGATGGATGATGGGTGCGTCACTTTGCTCAGGTTGGGACGCCCCTTTGGAAGCGGCGGCAACTGATGGGTTCGGCCTCATCTTCGAGGCCACCGATTTCTGCCATCCCACGTTCGCAGAAGCCCAAAAAGCCGGGCCCAACTTCCCCACCCTCCACCCTCCACCCCCCAACCTCCAAACCCCAGCCCCCTTGTTCTTCGAAACACAAACCAAGACAGCAGTTTCTGCCAAATAGGTGGCGCTGGCCTTCGCAGAGAAGGATGGCAAGATGGCCCTCGGCCTCATTCTCCACAATGGGGATGACAAGTGCCTCGGTGAGCTTTAAGTGTGCACGCGTGGTCGAACATGGACATGTGTGGTTAGATCTGTGCATCCAAATGGGTTGTGAGCCTTGAGGGGGCTTCCATTAAAGCTGGCCCCTTGTTTAAAGAGGAGGCAGAACCAACCCAGCCTGCGAACGCAAAGCTCCGGGCCGCTGAACTGGCGGTTGAGTTGGCTGCAGGAAGAGCAGCGTGGAGTTGACCTGGGCGGAGCTGGCCAGGTTCGCCGTGAAGGGCGTGATCTACATGGGCCACGGCCCTTGCAGCGAGAAGTGCCCGGCACAGGCCTGCGCGCGATTCGTTGGGGTTGGAGGGGAGGGGGACTTGTGGTCGTTTCTCGGTAGTTCCAACTCTATATATATATATATATTTACATATACATATATACACATACATACATACATATGTGTATGTATATATATATATATATTTCCTCAGGCTACTCTAACTTGGCGGCTTGGGGATATGAAGCCTTGGTTCTAGAGGCTAAATGGGAAACACACACCCTCGAAACCTGGATCCAAAGGACCACCTAGCTGATTTTCCCATTTTGATTGCGCTTTCTTTGAGGTGATGTTCAAGGGACACACACAGGGAACCCCTGGTGGGAGGGCGGGGAGGGTTGTGTCTGGTATGGGCAGTGGAGAGATTCGGAGGAAATGAAGGCGAATGCAAGCATGTCCAGCTCCACCAATGCATGGCAGGAATAGTTTCAAACAAAGACATCTACCCTAAGCTTCACATGACCAGTGGCCCGGTTTTCGCATTTGATGAGGTGCCGGAGGGTGATTTGCATGAGCTGGGGGCGCGCGGGCACTGGGTCAGCCCTTCGCTGCTGCTTTGGCGCACCGCAGCGGACTTGCCTGCCAATGCCCGGGTGACGCTGCACGCGAAGGCAGCGGGCAAATTGCGAACATCTAGACCCCGCTTGCCTCTACATTGAAACCTTTGGAGGTTTGTTCAAATAGTGGTTGACTTGTGATTGAAGTTGGCCCATTGCAAGGACGTGAAGGAGACCAAGGATGGCTTGACTTCCGGCGAGGAGCGGAGCGAGGGTGCGAGTTCGCATTGCAGTCCAGGGCAGTCTGGAATGTCGTGTTTGATTTGTTCAATCGGTGGTCCGTTTCAACAGAGAATCCATCGCGCGGGCCATATCTATAAATCTATAAATGACTGGTGACCGTTTCCGCCTGGCCATCTGACTGGATTTTCGAGTTGATTCTCTTGCAGCCGTGAAAATGCGATGTTGCCTCAGGAGTTCCTGCTGGAGCCCACGTTGGTCGAGGGGGAGGATGCCAAGGTCTTCCAGGCGCGCGCGGTTGAGTCGAGGTAAGCGCAGAGTCCCAAATATGTGGATCACCGCCCTGGAACCTGACTGGAGTTTCCTGAACGTCCATTTTTTCCAGACACCAAAGGGGCTGGGTTCCAGGTTAGTGGGAGGGCAGCCCAAGAAAGACCACAGACTCGTTCAGGAGAATCCGTACCTCGAGGGCTGCGGTTGCTTGAAGGTGCCGCCCGAAGCCGCGGCCCGGGCGGCGGAGCTGTGCAAGCAGCAGCTGGCGGTGTGCGTGGCAGCGGAGGAGGGGGTCTTCGACTGCAGCGGGGTCCAAGTGGGGGCGCTGCTGGACGCGTTGTTCGCCTACGACGGGCCCCTGGGGTGCCAGGTGAGTGATGGGGTGGAGCTACGGCTTTGGGCGCCCACGGCGCTGTCGGTGGAGGTAATGCTCTACGACAAGCCTCGCAAGGACGCGGGCACAAGCCACCCCATGTCCCTGCAGGGGGAAGGCGTGTGGCTCCTGCAGGGACCCAAGAAGTGGTTGGGCAAGTACTACACCTACAAGGTGCAGGCATACCACCCCACTACGGGCCGTGTGGAGGTGATGGAGACCCCAGACCCCTACTGCTCAGCCTGCTCCGCTGATGCCGGACGATCCTTGATTTGCGAGCTGCCGCCGATGCCGCAGCAGCCGGCCATGCCACCCTTCCGGCACCGAGCCAAGGCGACGATCTACGAACTCCATGTTCGGGATTTCAGTGCCCGGGATAGCAGCGTGGACAAGGCCGGGGTCAGCGCTTGGCCTTTTGCAAGAGGGATCGGACGAGGTTTGCCATAGGAAGTGGGTCACAAGGAAGCATTGTGTTTTTAGCATGTGACTTGCTGGAGTGCGTTGTTGACCAGGTTAATCGACCTGGCCGATGAACAGGTGGCATTTCTCAACAGATACGAATCCCCTCCGGGGCGGGCAAAGGTCCGAGCAAAATCAACTGGGTTGTAGGATCAGCCGCTCAACCATAGGACTGCGTACGTAGGCTTATCTTTTTTTGGACGACCTTTTTGACCAACTGCATGGATACGCCCTGCAAGATTTCCTGCTTCCTCTTTCGGTACGGATCCCGGGTAACCCAGGCTGCACCGATTCACGGTTGAGGTGACGACCCAAGAACCCATACGAGTGCCATGGACAGTCAGAGTTGCTATGTCATCACCACGCCCTTCAAGACACATATTTTGAAAGAAAGCGGTTGCAAAGACAGCTCAGCCCTGGTACACTCCTCGAATCTTCTAAGCCCCAAACCTGTCCAAAGCTTCAAAAGCGCCAACCCCTCGCACCCCTCAAACCCCTCGAACAAGCCAGAGAGGCCGTGCGTGGGAAGTACCTGGCCTTCGAGAAGCAGGGCAGCCACGGGGACCGGCACCTGCGGAAGTTGGCGGCTGCGGGGCTGAGCCACGTGCACCTGCTGCCCACCTTCGACTTCGGCTCGGTGCCCGAGCGCGCAGAGGACCGCAAGGAGCCGGAGCTGCCCCTCAAGGCAGGAGAAATCGAAACGGAGATCCGGACAGGGTGGCCAGGGTTGGGTCACTGGAGTACAGTGGTTTTACATGGGTGTCTATTGCCATGGGTGTCTATTGGTTCCCACAAGGTCATGTCTCTCCAGGGCCTTGGACACACCTTGGGGGGCGTTTGGCTATTCTGGTGCTTGACTTTGTTTGGATGGTCTGAGATCCAAACGGACCAAGCACGTGCGATCCCATCCATTGGACAGCCACTTCGACCCCCCGTCTTTCGCTCCATACCCATTTGGGTCTGAGGAGTGCGGTGCTGAATTGCAGGAAGAGAAATCGAGTCGTCACAACAACAACACAACACCAAGCATGGACTGGCACGTTCATTTGGTTGCGGATATATTGAAGGGTACCCTTTCTGGGTTTCAATGTGGGCTCACAAAGGAACCGGCCTTGCTGAGGCTGGGCCAGACTCCGAGGGTCAACAACTGGCGGTGATGGAGTTGGCAGACCAGGAGATCACCCTGCCCTGATAGTGGCCATGCGGGGGGGGGGGTTGAGGTGAAAGCCAAGGGAGCCGCCCAATTGTTTGGCTAAAATTAGAAGAGAGGCGGTTTCAATCCCTTTGCATTTTTCTGTTGAAGCTATCCAGAAAAGGATGTCCTCCAAAATTACTCACCATAAATCTCAATGGGAGATGCCAACTCAAAAACGGTCGGTGGACATCAATCGAACCAAGTAAATGATGTTTACGAAAGGGTCGCAAATGAAATGGTATGCCCACGTGGAAGCGCAGACCTTCAAGGTAAACCAACAGGAAAGGGGCTATTTTGGGGGTCCCCTCATTTTGAGGCAAACATGGGCCAGCCACAAAAGGTGACCATTGAAACTGCTGACTTTCCTTGCGATTCGAGCTTAGACACCATCCAAAAGCCCCTCGCCAGTTTAGGACATGATCCAAAATCACCCCCTCCTTGACTTCACCCGCAAGCCGCGGCAGGGTTGTGGAAAACAGGCGTTTTCGGGCCAGTTGTTGTGAATCAGAGAGGTCAGGAACCCCACTAAAAAGGTTTGAGACCTTAAACAGGATCCTCTTGAGGCTAGGTACCAAGAATCTTCGGGCAGCTGTTCAGTGGCCCATTTTCGCCTTTGTGTTTGCTTGGCTTCCCGCTTGCAAGGTCGACACCAAAAAGGGGTTCTTTCAACAGGGCAACCCTGTTTAGTTCCCATGGATCTGCACGGAGTCGGAATCATACATGTATTCTGTATGTGTTCCGAGGGAATCCCTTTCAAAGTGATAAAGTCATGGGGAATCAGCCATAATCAGCCACTAAGTTTCCACAATCAACCTTGCACCATTTTCTGCAGGATGCCTTCAATTGGGGCTACGACCCGGTGCTCTACGGGGTGCCGGAGGGTTCCTACGCCACAGACCCAGATGGCCTGGCGCGGGTCTTGGAGCACCGACGCATGGTCACGGCGCTCCACGGCAAAGGCCTGCGGGTCATCGCGGACGTGGTCTTCAACCACGTCTTCGGCGGCGGCCCCGTGGGCCCTCACTCCATCTTGGACAAGCCACCGGGATGCAAATGGCTTCACTGACCAGAATGGGAAGAAACGGTCTTGGTGATGCAGGGGTTATTGTCCACCCAGCTGGGGCAAAAGGTGGGGGCAAGGTCCTGAGAAATGCGTTCCCAAAGCAAGGTGCGTGCCCGGCTACTACTTGAGACGAAGCGAAGATGGACGTGTGGAGAACTCAACTTGCATGCGCCTTGGACAAACCAGCATGCTGTTGCAAGTGTTGATGTGGATGGGCTTTCTCCGCTTGTCTCACATTTCCATCCACCGCTTCAGCCACGAAAATGGGGTAAATTGGAGGATGTTGAGGGACGGACTCAAAAGAACCATATTGAATTCTTCATATCAGTATTGGGTAGACTCGTTCAATATCCGATTTGATGATGACACTTGATTTCTATCCATTTCATCAGGGAACCCTCAATCGGTGGCTTGGCTTGCATCCAAACTGGGTAGGGGTGCAGGGCCTGCGTGGAGAGGCCCCGCGCCCTACCCCTTTTGGATGCAATCCAAGCCACCGCCAATGCCAGCTTAGCATGACTCATGTGACTGTCCTTTTGCTTTGCTTGTCCCTTCCTCCCTAACAAGAACCTTGAAAAAACGTTTTGACACAAATAAAGTGTTTTCCCGGAAGTTTGCCCGGAAAAGATATTAGGGCGCCTGGTTTCAGTTTTATCGTGCCAGAGACAAGCTTCAGTTGCAGCACAAGGTACACGTTCCTTCCCTGGTCAAAAAAGCCTGCAGGATACATTCTAAGCAAGGCATTGGAACAGTTCAAGTTGGGGTGCAGACCCTGTGGGTCTGAAAAAAACAAGTTGGGTGGTTTTCCGGTGATCCCCGATGCCGCTGGAGTTGGGGTCGATGGGAAAAATCACTGGTTTAGTATTGGTTTCAACTTGGCTATTCTAAGCTTTGGTAGTTTCCCGGCCCTAGAAAAATGTTGTTTTTTTTATGTTTTCATCCTCCCTTTTCTTGGGTCTCCCCGCTTGTTTGACGCCTGTAGAATTTTCAAAGAGGTGGTTGCCCTTTGGTTTCCCATTAAACGCCCCCTGCCCCCAAACATATCAAAAACAGGCACCGCCATGTGAGGAACAACACGGCCACGGAGCGGTACATGATGGAGCGCCACGTGGTGGACATGGTACTGCGCTGGGCGACAGAGCACCGCATGGACGGGTTCCGCTTCGATCTCATGGGCCATTTGACCCTGAGGCTTGCGACATGGGCGAACTCTCGCCAAAGCAACAAGCATCATGGGTTCTGGGCAATTTGTAGCGACATACTTGTAGGAAGGTTGCATGTCAAGTGAGGGGTCCTTTCTCAGGGGGTCCCTCTTTTCTTTTCGGTTGGGGAATGTAGCCGCTGGCCCCAACCTGCCAGAGGAGTGTGTCGATTGAGGGTCCGAGATGGTCCACGCAATGCGGACATAACCCGTAGCCCAACGGAGCCGGTAGTTTGTGTACCATACTAGCATGTTCCACTTCCGCCAGGCATGGGTTGGTGATTTTTTAAGATTCACCAAGATGGGTTGCCTTTCAGCACCCGCCGCTTTGATTTGCCTCAGCAGTATGAATCGGACCCACCCGATTGAACTGTAGCCGTCTCCTCTCATACTGCAAGATGAGGCTCAGCCAAACTTCCATCCCCGAAATAAGGTGACAAAAAACACAGTTGTGGCTCAACAAGAACTCCCCAGCTTGGGGAAAAGCAAAAAACGACTGCAGTCCTGGCACCTAAAATGTACGCCAACAAGTGGACCGCAAAACAATAGGGGGACCTCAAAACATGTCGGATTTCCTTTTGACTCCCCTGCCAGCCAACGCTGCTAAGCAGCATGTTATTTTTGGATGTCAGGTGCATCCAGAAGTGCCGTGCCGCGCTGGACGCGCTGAGCCTGGAACAGCACGGCATCGATGGGCCCAGGCACTGGGGGGGAGTTTTGGTAAGCGGGTGGCAGGGGGTGTTTGGTGTCATTCATGCTTTTCTGAAGAACCCTTGAAAGAAGTCTCTCTTTTTTTGGTGCATGTGTGTGTGTTTTTGTTTTGGTGTTTGGAAAAATGTTGGTGGTGTTCTCGTGCGAAACCTTTTATAAGTTGTTGTGGGGTTGTGTTCTGATTTGCGGGCCCTTCCTGAATTTCACTCACAAGGGTCGGATTGCCGCTGCCAAACGACCTTCAAAGCAAACAGGTCCCCAGGCGCTTCCTGGTGCAGTGGAAACCATCAGATGGGTTTTTACTATTGTTTGATCCCATGTTGATGGTACTAATTGGGGTTGGCGGGTGTGTGTGCTCAAAGTAGAGTGGACCCATGCATGATTCTTGATGAGTTCAGCATTCATTATGGTTTAGCAGGCACCAAACAGGCCCAACATGAATTCTTACGTGAGAGGGGACATGTGTTCCATACAACCAGCCACCAACTACCGTTTTGTTTCAATTGTCTCATACCCTCTGCTTGGGGCCCAGTAAGATAAGTGGCTAAATCGTGACATAGATTGTTTGCTACCAGCAAGGCAATATTTGGACACCTTGGTGTGTGTGTGTGTTCCGCTTGGTTTGGAGCCCGACGGGTTACGTTTGCGAGGGAATGCCGCGTCAGGTTTTTCTCATCTAGCACTGAGACCCATCAATTTCACCAACAGACCCTAAAGTGCACATGGCATGTTAACAGCAAGAGGAACAAATGCCTTCACATGTCAAAAGAACACAGATCTTGAATTTCCCAATGCCTTTTCCATGGCGATGTTTCCCAGTGGCTTACGTGTCTTGGTCGAGATTCATATGGAACCCCACAAAACCACCACTCGTACAGGCACCTCTTTTGGGTTCCATGTTAGTTTGTAGCGGGGTATGGTTCGTTGTCCTTTTTTGTCCAACGGTTATTTCGGTGTGGCTCAAAATTAAAACGGGGCAAACCGCAGGTCTTGGCAACCATGTTTCCACTTCCCGGGGCAACCCATTTTGGAAATTTCCGGTTTTTTGAATTCGCCACGGCCATTTTGCGCGTGTTGGTTTTCCGTTTTCCCGTGTGTTCCGGTGAGCCGATCTGTTCGAAACCGCCAGGCTGCTGCTCTACGGTGAGGGCTGGGAGTTCGGGGAGATCGCGCAGGGGGCGCGGGGGGACACGGCGTGCCAGCGCCTGCTGGCGGGCACCGGCATCGCCTCCTTCAACGACAACCTCCGGGAGGAGCGAAGTGGTGGAGTCGGGGGTGTTTTGGTGGGGATGTGGTTTTTGTTGGTGTCATTTGGTGTGTTTTGTTGTTGTGTTTTTCGGGGAGGGGAACCCGCTTTTGGTTGGTTTTGAATGAGGTCCCCCTTGTTTGTGTGTGTGCCTTTTTGTTGGGAAACGTCTCTTGCTTGTGTTCTCTCACGCCCCAATGTGGAAAACCACCGATTCGATTCGTGAGGCCCATCCCTACGACTTGTCTTTGAGGGGATTCCTCAAGGGTACAGGAAATCACCAGATTCACCACAATTTGTGTCCTTTTTTGGTAGCACAGGAAATCACCAGATTCCTCAAGGGTACCAGATTCACCACTTTGCAGCAGTCTTTTTTCGTAACAGTGTCCTTTCCCTTTCAGTGCCTTGGTGCACTTGTGGTTTTAACGGGAAACGCACAGGACGCCTTTTGGGGTCCCCTTTGAGACACACCCGGCATCTGCTTCGAAGGCGCTGCTGGGTGGCAACGCCTTCGAGGACCCGCGCCTCCAAGGCCGGGGATGGAAACGGCCACGTCCAACCGCCGGTCTTTCGTTGGATACAAGCGAAAGGCTAGGTCCCCCAGTAGTGCCCTTTTACCCTTTTTTTGGGGAGGGTTCCCCTACTAAAATAGACTACAGAAAAAAAGGGGTATCCTTATTCTAACCTCTCTACTAAAGGACCTAGAAGGTTTAGAATTGAAGGATAGTCCCTTTGCAATAGGTGCCCGGTGCACCAAGAAAAAAACTGATCCGTTTACTGGAAACGTGTCAAAATCGGATGCACAGCTCTTGAATGGCTTGAAATGAGGAGGAAGCCGTTGTTAATTGAAGGGGTCTGCTGTGGACCGCTTTCAGCGTGGGATGCAGCACTATCGTTTTTCCTGTGGGGAGCCCGTGCGCAGGAGGATGTCCTTCAGGCTTTGAGGTTTTATGGGGTGAGCCTCCGACCTCTCAGCCCTCAAAAGGATCTCTTGGCGGTTTTCTTTGAGGCCCCGTTCGTTTGGTTTTTTGCTTGCCTGCCTGCCTTGCCTTGCCTTGCCTTGCCCTGCCCTGCCTTGCCTTGCCTTGCCTTGCTTCCTTGCTTGCTTGCGTGCTTGCTTTCTTGCTTGCTTGCTTGCTTGCTTGCTTGCTTGCTTGCTTGCTTGTTTGCTTGCTTGCTTCTGGTTTGCTTGCTTGCTTGCTTGCTTGCTTGCTTGCTTGCTTGCTTGCTTGCTTGCTTGCTTGCTTGCTTGCTTGCTTGCTTGCTTGCTTGCTTGCTTGCTTGCTTGCTTGCTTGCTTGCTTGCTTGCTTGCTTGGTTCTGTTCTTGTGTTGATTTGATTTGAGTCCATTTGAGTTGACTTGATTCGATTTGAGTTGACTTGATTCGATTTGAGTTGATTCGAGTCGGTTCGATCTAAGATTCGATGGATGGATGGAAGAAAACGGGCGCGCGGATAGACGGATGTAATCCCAGACGGACGGACAGACGCATCGATGCATTGACGGATGCATGGATGCAAGGATGCATGCCTTACGGAAGGACGGATGCAATGCATGGATGGATGCATGCATTAAAGGGTTGCTTCGCTGCATGGCTGCATGGATGCGTGCATGGATGCAAGGATAAATGGATAAAAGGTTGCAAGGATGCATGGATGGAATGGGATGGGATGGGATGGGATGGGAGGCATGAATGAATCCCAATGTGTCAGTATTTTCCCGTGTTTTGCCTCGTTTCTTTGTCGGTCGATTGTTTGATTTTTGTTTCGCCTGACTGTTTGACAGGCTTCGCCACGGGCCTTGGCCTGCGCCCGGGCTTCGAGGTGGCGGGGGATGCGGAGGAGTTGCTGCGCATCAGCGCAGCGCCTCGATCCCTTTCGGTTTCTGGGTTCTTTGGGGCTCCCTAGGGTTCTGTTGGGTTCTGCAGGGTTTCTTCGGGTTCCGTGTTTGGTGGTATCCCTGAGAAAGTCTTAGAGAGTTGTTTTTGTTTGGTTAGGGTTGGTGTGGACATTAGTCAATGGTGGGCGAATGGCTAGTGGCTTTGTATAGTTGATGGCCTGGCTTGGTGATTTGGAGGCGGGGGACTCTCTCCTTTGCTTTTGTTGCTGCCTTTCCTGCTTTCAGCAGCCTTCCTACTTCATGTTAACAGGCCCCTTGTGCAAAAGAGCCTTGGGTTATTTGTCGTGTGGGTGTGGCAACCGACGGTAAGGACAACATCCGAGTCTGCATGGCGGCGGGGCTGACGGACTACAAATTGGAGCAGGACTGTTTTGGGCGTCGAGGCTTGCCAGCCTGCCAACTTCATGGGGGCCGAGCTGCGTACGTCTCCGCGCCAGAGGAGGCGGGCATTTGGACCTGACTGGTGCCCTTGTGGTATGGTTTATGAATGCTTCTCCCTGTTTTTGCGGTGGTCTTCCTGCTTTTGGTCAAGATTCCCAAGATGGCGCTTTGTTGGGGAAGGGCTGGCCATTGCAGTTTCCTTGCCGTTCTAATGGATCCCAACTTAAATTTAGTATTAGTCGAGTTTGGGAAGTAGAATCCAGCGGCAGCAGCAGCAGCAGTGACAGCAGCAGTAGCAGTGGTAGTGGCAGTGGCAGCACATAGCAGTAAGACAGTGTCAGTGCACGCGCAGCAGGTCATCAACTTTGTTTGCGTCCACGACAACGAGACGCTCTACGACAGCACGGTGTGGAAGATGCCGGTCTCCAACACCAGCCCGGAGGAGCGTGTGCGGGCGAACTGGCTGTGCACGGCCTTCCTGGCCTTTGGCCACGGGGTGCCTTTGTTCCACGCCGGGGACGAGCTCCTGAGGTCAGCCATACGACGTGTTCACGTCTGGTGGGTTAAAGGGAAACCGAAAAGACACAGGGCTTTGTTTTGCAGGAAACCCGAAAGGAACCTGGTCTCAGGTACCCCTTCAATTGGTGGTGTGGATTGGTGGTTTGGGGTTTCGATCCCCAGTACCTTTGTGAAACCACATGGGTAAGGCTGCCCAGTTGGGTTGGAGGAAAACCGGAAGGAGTTGTTGGGCCTTGGGGGTTGACATAAACAAGAGCACCAAACGTCAGCGCACTTAGCCCAAGTTCAAGGGCCTTTTGTTTTGGGGTCCGAGCAAAATTCGGCAGGTCTAAGTCCCTGGACCGGGACAGCTACAACAGCGGGGACTGGTTCAATCAGCTGGACTTTACTGGTCAGCAACTTCGCTTGAGGGTTCATCCAGACCAGTGGCGTCTTTGGTTCCCGTATTCTTTGAGGTTGTGTGTTGATGTTTTTGTTAATGTCCAGTGGCGTCAACTTCCTCTTGGGAGGAGGCGCTTTTTTCTCCGTCTGGGGTTTCATGACCCCAGGGAAGGTAATAGGTATGTAATAGGTAACCTTTACAAGGGTCAACCCTCACATAGTGGAAGTAGTGGAAATGAGCCACGGATCTAGTTAACCTTCAGCCTGTTTGGTTGAGTTCAGCCTCTAAACAGCAAACACCATAACATGTTGCTGGGGGTCAAAGACCTCAGAATAGCAGGAGTTGTTTTTGCCGGACGGCCAGAATCCCTTTCAAGCGCGTAAGTTGCATAGTTGAGACCATGGGAGAAGTGATGCGTGAACTTGAGCCAAAATGCGCGGTTGCCACATCTTTGCAGACTACGAGCTCTGAACGGAGCGGAACTAGCTGGGCGCCTGAAAGCGCACCAGCTGCTCATTCTACCACGAGAGGTGCATACTATTTTAGCGGTTGATGGGGAGTATAAGGCCTTGATGCGTGTGTCTCTTTCTGAGGGCACCCTTTTACAGGAACGCCCAGAAGGGCCTATTTCAGAGGTTCCATACCCCATCACGCGCCAAACCGAATCATATGAACCCTGACAAGCATCTTGGTAGAATCTAAGACGGTGTCCACTACCCCCAAGCCAATACTCCCAGGGGCAGCGTGTCTGAGGCAGAGCGGGTTCGGCATTGGCCTGCCCTGCTGGAACAAGAACGGGACCAAGTGGGAGCTCATGAGGCGAGGATTCTGGATGAGGTCACCAACTCGGGGGTAAGCGAGCTCACTATGAAAGTCTCTTAATTGGGGATTTCTTCTGTCAGGTGCGTGAATTATGGTAAGGCTCAAACGTGATAGTGCAGAGGGAAGACTGTGCTTCGGAAGGTGCATGAGTGTGTGTATATGTGCGCACGTGGGAATGGCAATTCTGAAATCAGAGGATTACCCAAACTGGGCCGTTTCCTTGGCGTTCAAGCTGGCAGAAACCGAGCGGCGAAACGCGTCTTGGGCCCTGGCCATGATTCAAAAATACCCTCAACACCCTCAAAATCGGATGGGCGTATACAGCTCATGTAAAAGATGTCATCCCAAACTCGTTTCACCCAAAGAGTCGGGGCTGTGTTTTTTTTTGTCTTAGGGGACCCCCCAACACAATGGAAAAACGGGGTACCCCGAAAGAGATGATTGGGCGTCTGTTTTTAGGGGACCTCCCAACAGAAAGAAAGGAAGCTAAAACCAACCCCCCTCCCCCCACAAACAAAGCAGAGAAATACAAGAATCCAGGGCCATCCAGTTGGTTTCGTTTCGCTTTGTCTCTCCGCCGAAAAAAACAGGAAGAAAAACAAAAAAGGGGGCCCACCGTTGACCCACTCGGGTGTCGTCTTTGTCCCCAACCCGAGGCCTTTGCTGAAGGACGCCTCGCTGCGGCCCAGCTGCGACCAGGTGGCCGCCAGCACGGCCAAGTTCTGCGAGCTGCTGGCGGTGCGGAAGTCCACGGCCCTGCTGGGCCTCACGGAGGCTGGGCGAATTGAACGCCGAAAGCCGGACCCCGAGTTTTTGTGGTGGTGGTATGCCCCCGAAAAAATAAAGCGCCATGGTGTGTTTACTAGGATGCAAAATAAATGTTATTAGTAGTACAATGGTCATTTGTATTGTCACTATTGTGTATTATTACTTGTGTTATGACTATTACTCCATTGTTACGATTGCTATGGTTATCATCGTCATTGCTTCTATTGCGATGAGTGTTATCATTTTTAAAGCCGAGCTGAAACAGATGCTTGCAATCCAGCTGAAACCTGTCCCATTTCTCAGGGGTGCCCTTCCTTTGGGGGTCCTGGGCCTGGGAGCAAAGGGCAGCTGGGCAACGCTTCCTTAGGCTTGGAGGGTTTGAGGGGAATTCTCTCTATCGGTTCAAGAGCAACTGGGTATAGCCCAAGACAAACAGAAGGGCAAGATGACATGGGGAAGGTGGAAGGACGGGTGTCTCAGGCAAAGATGCCTCTCTGAGATGTCTCTTTCTGTCTTTCTTTCTTTCTGTCTGTATTTCTTTCTCTCTCTCTCTCTCTCTCTGTGTCTGTGAAACTCAGGCCGTGGACATCATCGAGAAGGTGAAGTTCCCCCCGTCGGAGCCCGGGGTCATCATCATGGAGGTGAAAAACGGCCCCTCCGCGGCCGACGGGCAGGCGCAGATCTGCTCCAAGTACGCGCGGGTGGTGGTGGTGTTGTCCGCCCTCTCCCAGGAGCTGAGAGTGATGCCACCCGCAAGCGCCACGGAACTTCGGCGAAGGTTTGGCATTGAATGCTGGTCTAGAAACTGTTTGAAGGAGTTCGGAGTTTTGCATTTTGCAGCGTTGCTTGGTTTGTTGAACACCCCAGCTTCGAAACGACTAAGGAGGGAATGCTTCGTTTGCATCCGCTGCATGCGAGCTCCAGCGACGAGCTGACGCGCATGGCCTACGCAGACGAGGCGGGTTGATTGCAGGCCGACGACCTGAGGTTGTGAAAATATCCCGTAGTCCATGGTCAATAAAAGCAGATGTTCTTTGGCTCCAAGCTGTGCAACAATGGCGGTTTGTCGCTGGTTTCCCCGCCACCGCCACCGCAGCACAGTCACAGTCACCCCTTTTTTGTTGGACAGTTTTGTTTACCACCATCCCCAATTGTTTGCAACTTGTTTGGACAAGAAGACCTGGTGGCTATAATATTACACAGGATGCCCCCACCCGGACATGGGCATGTGCCTCAATTGGTCACGTGTGGGTGGCCTTCCTACAATGTCCCAAAAAGGCTTGGGGTCCAAACTCTTAATTGTTTGTGGTTTGGAACAGTCGCTTAAGCACAGATTGTTGCCAGCCTTTAAACAGCTTGCTGCTTGGAATGTGTTTCCCTCGCCTCCTTGCAAAGAGAAGCCTGGTTACCCCCACAACACAATCCGAGGTCCAGTTCCTCCAAAGCAAACAGGTCTCCGTTCCAAATGGAATGCGCCTGATTTTGTCCAAGGTTTGAGATTTGAACCCCTGGTTCTAGAGGGTACATGGGGGTTTTCCCCTCCATTTCACCAAACCGATTCGGCTCCAAGCCACCCTTTGCGCGGGAAGCGAAAAAAGAACGACGGCAGGAGACCGAGGAGCTGGTGGTGCCGGCCATGACGGCGGTGGCCTTTGTTGAGCCGCTCCCCGGGCAGGCGCGAAGCGGGTTTCGGGTTTCGGAGGCAGCGCGTTTTCACCCGTTGGAAGACAGAAGAAACCGGGTGTTCTGCCTTCGGGTTTATACAAAAACTGGTTTCTGCCTTTCCTCTGGCTTACAAAATATGTTTTTGTGCCTTTAGGTGTACAAAAAGAGCTGATTTGTTTTGTTTGCCTTGTTGAATCAGCTTCCGTTTGGATTGATGGTTTGGTGGGCAGTTTGTGTTGCCTTGAGCCACAATCAAAACGCGGGTTTTGGGTAGACAAAGTTTAATTCCGGGCTTTGATGACTCATCATGCTAATTGCAATGGTTTCTTGGCTACGTAAGGAGTAGCGGTTGCTTTCGGATGAGATTAGGATTGGCCAAGCCTTTGGCACAGCCCAAAATCTGTTCCCTTTCCATGGTCAGCGGTATGGGTCGATTTCATGCCAACGGGTTTTGCGAGTCATGGCATATAAGGTTCTGGCGTGGGGCAGAAGTAGCATGTGAACAGTTGTTGGTCAATAAGTGGATGAAAGTCTTAGTTTGAACCCTTCTATAGAGGAGGAAAGGGGCATCGGGGTCTCAAGTTCAAACCCTTTCGTTTTGTCCGAGGCATCCCAAAAGGCCAAAAAGGGATACATGCCATGCATGCCCACATGGCTGTGGGTCAAAACCAATGGTACCATTTTGGGGTAGGTGCATTACCCAGCCCATTTTAGTCTATTTTAGTGGGGATTGGGATTTTGACCCACGGCCACATGCCGTCCGGTTGCCTCAGGAGGGGCACAAGGCCAAGAAGCGCAAGCTGGCCTTCGCGCCCTCCCTGCGGGACCGGCCCATCGTGGGGGACGGCCTCGGACTGCTAAAGGTGGATGAGGCCTGTGTGCCCTTCAAGGCCCATTTCGAGTACCGCTGGAAGGCCGGAACACTTCTGGCCTCGTTTCTTCTTGGGAGGTGTTCAGTTTTGGGGTTTCTTAGAGGGACGAAGGGGTACCCGAGCAAAAAGACTCTTTTTTGTTTTGTTGTTTTTTGTGTAACCCAGTAGTGCAAGCAAACCATGCTCAAACTATCGTAAGTGAGACGGTTTGAATTCATTCCCCTGCATGTTTAGGAAATCCCCCTGCCAGTCGGCGACTAGGCATTTAGGAGCCGTGACACCCAAGCAGCACGTTAGAATGACAGTTCCCCTGCCATAAGTGTAGCTTCCCAAGCGGCTCACTTTGACCCCAGGTGTACACCGACCTTCGCCAGAGCATCAAAGAGACCGCAGGCTCGCTGACGGACTTCGCAACAGGCTACACCCGGCTGGGATTCACCAAGGACGACACAGGGGCGATCACGTACCGCGAGTGGCTCCCGCCGGCGCAGTCCGTGTGCCGGGCTGAGCAGCTAGGTCTGGCGGTTTCTCCACTGTTCACAGCCTAGCCAAATATGGCTGTGGGTCAAAACCCTGTACCCCTGGTGAACATCAAAATAGGTGGTACATGGGTGTGCATCCGCCTCAAAATGAAGGCATAGGCTATGACCCATGGCCATATGATTTCCTGTTTGTTTTTGTTGAAGTCCCTAAACAAGGGGCACGTTCGGAAAGGAGTTGCCCATCTCAAGAAATCACAGGGGTGCAAGTGGCACCATGGCCCCTGATGCAATGCGCAGAAGCCTGAAAAAGGCATGGGTCAGACGGATCTCACAAGGGGTGTTGGGGATCTCACCTATGATGAAGGTTCCTTGCATGGAAGTGTATGTTCAATGCTCGGCTCGTGAGCTACAACTTGATATTCCAGGAGTACTTTTCGGGGTGCGGAGCTGAATTCGGCCACGAGGTCCTTGGTGGGAGACTTCAACCAGTGGAATGAAGCCGCCACGCCTATGGTCCGAGATGCGTTTGGAACTTGGGAGGCGCGGAGAGAAGGGGACGCCAGACTGGGTGACGAAAATGTGGTGTTTGTCGGGTGAGTTCTTGCACTTCTCATTTGTAGCATCCCTTTAGTACAGGAGTATTGGGTCCATCCCCAAGCCTCATGAGCTGTTTGGTGTGTTTTCCCTGTTCGTTGGGATATCGTAAATGTTAAGCCCTCCTGACCGGCTGAGGTGACCCTGCCAGCTGGAGCCATCGCACATCGCTCCAAGGTGAAGTTTTGTGCCACGAAGGACGACGGATCCAAGGTCTACCGCGTGCCTGCCTGGATCAAGTGGTCTTGCCCCGACCTGGGCACCTTGTAGCGTTTGGCTTTGCGCTTGGCAATGCTGATTTATGAAGTTCATTGCCGCCAGAAGGCAAACACTTCCTTATGTTAAGGCTTGCTCTGCTTCCCAAGGCTGCTTGGTAGCTTTGAAATTCGCTTGCTCTTCAGCAAAGACAGGGAGGGGGGCCTCGGAGGGGGGGGGGAGAGTTCCTGGCGCATGTCTCCGCAGGCAAGTTCGGGTCCACCTACGACGGCTACTACTGGGACCCCCCCGGGGACGGGGAGGACCTGCGCTTCCCGGGCTTCCAGGCGCCCAGGCCCCCGGTGCCCCGCACCCTGCGCATCTACGAGGCGAGCGGGCGATGGGCGACGGGTGAGTTGGCCGCTTTGGGGGTGTTTGAAGCGTTTGTGACGGGTAGATGGGAAACCCATCCAAACCAAATGAATTAGAGGGATGGTAAATGGGAAACCCATCCAAACCAACGCAAAGGCTGAGGTTGGTTTTTGAAAGGAAGGCCTAGGAGAGCAAAGGGCAACCGGACCCGGTTTGGCCAATTTGGGGGGTGAAGAAATCGCTTACACGTGTCGATTCTTGCCACTTGCCAGGCCCATGTGGGTATGTCCTCGATAGAGCCCAAGGTTAACAGCTATGCAGAGTTCGCAGAGGAGGTCTTGCCCCGGATCAAGGCGCGAACGTGAAGCTTGAGGAGCGTTGTTTGCTAGGCTTCGAAAGATCTGGCAGGTTTTCCATGTGAGAGCTTGCCCTTTCATAGGTCTCACTCATATTGGCACGCGGTACACTGCCGAGCTGTTTTGGCAAGGATATTCAATTTGTTTGTGAGCGCTTCAGTCAAGCTCTTTTCTTGTGTGATACCAGCGAACCTGCCCCTCCAATTTAAGATGCCATGTTGAAGCCCTCGTTTTTTCTCAAGTCACAGGGGTTGCACTTCCCACATGTTTCGTGTTTGCGGGTCTCCCGCGGTGCCCTTTTCCCTTTTCGGCAGAGAGGGTTTCCATGGAAATCCGCCAAAGCAGGTCCGCTTTTTTGCCCCATGGGCACTGGAGCTCTGTTTGCTTCCGTTTTTTATTCTTCTTTTTTTCAGGAGGCGGGGTACAATTGCATTCAGCTCATGGCCATCATGGAGCACTCGTACTACGGGTCCTTCGGGTACCACGTGACGAGCCCCTTCGCGGTGTCCTCGCGCTCAGGGACCCCCGACGAGTTCAAGGCACTGGTGGAGCAGGCCCACGCCATGGGCATGCTGCACGCAGCGAAGACGGGGGGCTTGGGGGGCTTCGGAGGTTTCCAGCTGGTTGATTGAAGGGAAGCCAAAATGGACGCCCCAGTTTGGCAAGAGGTACCCCGAGTTTGATACATTGCCTTAAAGTGGGGAGCACTGGTGAGCCCGAGGGTGTTTTAGTAGGCTCGAAAGTTTTAAAAATTTAGAGCATCCTGGGAAGCACATTGAGCCGCCACAGGCATCTCCTTGGTTTCAAGGTCAAGCTGCAAGATCCATCTGACAACTGCGGATTGCGGATAGGCATTACGGATCCACCAATTTGCACAAGCCCTGCAGCCCATTCAACCGAGGTTTCAATTGAAAACCAAATGGACACCGCACAATTTTGGGGTCCCTGCATATTAGACAAACTCACTTGGATGTTTATAAAAAGAGGAATTGAAGTCTCAAAATTGTTGTTTCCCCCTGGGTTCTCCTTTTTCAATCAAACCGCAACTAAGTACCAGCGAACAAGGCAGGGTTGTCTCACAATAGGACATGGGCGAGGGGTGCGGATATTTATGTTGTTGAGGCGGTTCATGTCCGCTGTGGTTTCTAGACGATCAACATATTTCCTTTTTGGGGGAGCCCCAAAGGAAACTGGGTTGGTTAAACATCACGTTTTGATTGATGTCCCTTTTTGCGCCTTTTTGGAGGGTGCCTGTTCGTATGTTCCCACCTGAAAAGGTGGCCTGAAACCTCTGAGGACAACGGTATTTTTCTGTAGCGGGTGAGAAGCCCTTCGCAGCACGCAAGGCGAGAAAGCCACGATATTTGGAGGCTGTGTAAGTGGAGTGCTCATCGTGCGGCCTAGATCAAGAACCAACAAGAATCAGCAAAAACAGCAAGAAACGACAGCGAAACAACAATAAAGAAGCACAGGAACAAGACATAATCACTGCAATACACATTCAAGACACAACAAGATAGATCAAGAGACAACAACAAACAACGGATTAACAAAGCAACGCGAGAAACATCAAGACAACAACAAACCATTGATGCAAAAATTGCTTGGCCTGCATGAGAACCACCCGGGCGGACCATGCAGCAAGGGTGCTGTTTGTGGATGAGACCCAGCAGGAAGAATCCAAACATCGGGACGTCCCGAAGGTCCTGCCCTGTTCAGAGCCTTTTGCAAAGCCAACGTGTCTTACAAGGTCATGGCACGAAGGCACTTGTTTGTTTTCCCCCTTCGACTCAAACATAGCCTGGTTTCAGGTAATTAGTGCTTGATTGGTCCAAACCACCAAACAACGAGGACAGCTGACGGTTTCAGGCTGTTTAGTTAGCTTTCTGCCGGCCATGGGTCAAAATCCCGTCCCCCCAGTGAACATCCCCATCCCCACAAAAATAGGTTCTAACATGGGTGGTGAATTCACCAATCCCAACCAAAATTGGATCAACCACAACGGTTTTGACCACAGCCGTGGGTCTTAGGCTGGTGCTGATTGACTTGGTGCACTCCCACGTGTCCAGCAACCAGGACGACGGTTTGAACGGCATGGACTTTGGGCAGGCGGAGTGCGACAACTACTTCATGTCGGGCGAGCGGGGCTACCACCGGCTTTGGGACTCCAGATTGCTCTTCGATGTGAATGGCAAAGCTTTTGGGGGAGTTCGAGGTAAACTGACCCACATATGCCCAAGCCGCGGGGGATTTGTTGGTTTGAATGCGCATGTTAAGATTGAGTCTATCGAGGGGAATTGCCGGAAGCAGCTGCGAGAAAGCCTTTCAGTCTTTTTTGGCCCTTGTCAAATCGCCTGCCCTCCCACTATCTCCCACTCCTCACACGTCTAGGTACTGCTATAAGAACTACGAGGTGCTGAGATACTTGCTTTCGAACCTGCGGTGGTGGCTGGAGGAGTACAACTGCGATGGGTTCCGATTCGATGGTGTGACTTCCATGTTGTATCACCATCATGGCCTGTACATGAGCTTCACAGGCCCGGAATGAAAGAGGTGCTTCATGTAAATAGAGAGCTAAGAGAAGCTAAGAAAGCTTCAATATAAATGTGGTTCCACTTAAGGGGGGGTACACGGCCAAAACCTTCTCGAACCCTGGTGTTCACACCCGCATGATCAAATGACAGGCAATTACGAAGAGTATTTCGGCCTGCAGACCGACGTCGATGCCGTGGTATACTTGATGTTGGCCAGCGAGCTTGTCAGAAGCGTTCTGCCAGATGCAGTGATGATAGCTGAAGACGTCTCGGGGATGCCCGGTCTTTGCAGACCTGTTGCTGAAGGCAACGGCGTGTCTTTCTTGCACCCTTTTCGCTGGCTTTGGAAACTCAAAGGCAAAACCACCCATTCTAGTTCCCCAGTTGGAGACAAATTCAAGAGACTGATTCGAACAGCGGTACACAACTGCCACAGGGTGGGCATTGGACCCAAGCCTCTTCAGCCCGTACCAGCCAAAAGTCAGGAGCTGGCGGCAAGTGCTGTGTCTTCAGCTTAGGCAACAAAGGGACAAACAGTCAGAAGATGGGGACCCCGCGTATCTGTGCAAAGTGACAATTCAGCTAGCCCTCAGATGTACCACCTCTGGCTGCTTCAAGACTGCATCCCTCCTTTCAAGACATAGGACACATACCTTTGCAGCCAGGGTTCCATTTTTGGCAACGACTGAATTGCAGGGTGTTTCTGTTGTGCGCTCCCTCAGTGGTTGCAGGTGGCATTGGCTTCGACTACCGGTTAGCCATGTCCTTGCCGGACATGTGGATCTCATTGCTGAAGGATGTGAAGGAAGGGGTCAGTGAACAAATCGGGTTCCAACTGTATTAAAAAGGTGGCTTGTAATCATCACTTGTTTGGCCAATTTAAAGCGAGTTACCTTTCATTGGGTGAATGGGGAATCCCAAACAAATAACGACTATGATTGGCACGTTAGGTTTGTAGTTTGCAACGCAGCCATGCGCCCGATGCGCTCAGTTTGCAAGAAGGGGCTGATCGGTGTCCTTTGTAATTCGCTGAGTTGCGTTCTTGGCGAGCATGCCATGCATCAGCTTGTTCAAGAGAGATGGAGGATGAGCACTGGGGCATGAACCAGATCGTCTCGGCCATGTGCAACCGACGTCGTGGGCAAGAGAAGACCATTGCCTACGCTGAGAGCCACGATCAATCTATTGTCGGCGACAAGCGCCTTGGCTTGCAAACGCATGTTCTGCCTTCCCAGTGAATCACGAATGGGCAATGCACTCAGCCAGGTAATTATATGGCAGGAGAACTAGGAAGCTGGGACAAGAAGATAAAGGTTTCTCCCACCAGGGTGTGTGAGCCACAGAAATCCTCCCTGAAAAGGCCAAGCGCCCTTCGCCACGTGCCGCCCTCTCCGTGCATGTTCCCAGGCTTCGGGTTAGGCTTCGGTTCCTTGCATCCACGTTCCCAGCCACCTAGGACGATTGCATTTTGGCTTATGGACGCAGAGATGTACACGGGCATGGGCGATGACGGAACTCCGGGCACGGTGGTTATCGAGCGCGGCATGTCACTGCACAGGAATCCCGGCTCAACCGCTGTGCTTGGCAATCTATTCGTGGCTATGAACGGTCAAACTCTCTTCATGAACTTCGGATTCCTCGAATGAACTTCTTGCGAGCGTTACTACTTTGCGGCTTGATGCCTCGTATTTGACAGCGGTTGTGCTGATGTCGGTGGGTTGCGCTGATGTCGGTGGGCGGTGCGGTGCGAAACATCAAGACAGCACCGATGCCTTCGGCTGTTTTTATGGCACCCTCTTGGGATTGATAGGGAAAGCACACAGGCACCCAGATAGCTGACAGGTATAGAGGTTCTAACTTGAAGTACTAAGTAGAGAGTGGCCAGTGTGACAGTGCTGTTGCAAGGTGCTGCTAGAGCATGTGACTCTTCAACAACAGTTTTTCAAGGTCCCAAGCGCTATGTGTGGTGTGCTTCATACGCCACCCCATCATCAAGCTGCTGTTGTGCAGAGTGAACTGGGAAGGTGCTTGATTCGAAGGTTTTGGCAGGGTGCCTTTTGCAGGGTGTTGGCGAGTGAGGCTGAGAGTTACGCAGGCTGCTGTACAGTGTTGTGTGGGGTGCTGGTGGTGGGGTGTTGGCACGGCAAAGAAGATGCGTGTTGGCCGTTTTTGTGTTGTACTAGCATTCACGGTTCTCAAGGTGTGCCCAAAAAGAGGAGTTGGAAGTGGTTTGCTTGAAACACCAAAAGGGGGAGGCCTTTCCATGCTGTTTGGGCCACGTGTGCATGAGACTTTCGTTCGGGTGGTTGTGAGCCCTTCAGAAGGCTGGGTGCTGTATGAAGGCCTTGCAACGGTTGATCTTGGGAAAAAGGGAGATGGGTGTGTCTGTTTCGGGGGGACTCCCCCAAAATGGTGGTTGTCCTTTTGGGTGTCCCTTCAAAATGACCTCAGCCCGGGATTGTTCTTTTTTGGGCAGTCTCTGATGAGCCTGAGGCTTATTCGAGCCATCACCATCGGCCTGGGAGGTGAAGGTGCGATTCGTTGGCTTTGAGAAGACTTTCTGTAAGCTATGGGCTTTGATTGCTGGAAAGGCCCTCCAAATGGTGGACACAAACCCACCAAGCTTTTTCTCCCAAGATAGCTGAAAGTTATAAGAGTTCATACTTCTGATGTAGAGGGGGTCCCAATGGCTTCAGGGGGCTTTGTTGGGAGTGCTGGTGCAGGTGTGAGCTCACGCGCTTCTTGGTTTTTGGGGTGGCTCTAGTGCAAAAACTGCAGTGCTTGACAGGCTCTTGGCTAGGAGGACTATTCTGGTGAAGTGATTTAAATGATGACCAGCAAGGGTCCCTTTACCAAAGGGACAGCCACTCATTTTTTGGGGCTGTCTTGAGACGAACGTTTTGTGAATGAAATCATATAGTTAAAACTTGTAATCATAAAGGCTAAGGAGTCTATTACTTTTTATTTGGATTCATCTTTGGAATCTCCGGTACATCAATATCAGTCCTTATAAGAATAGAAATATATTTATCAGGAAATAGGAATATATCTCCGGAAAACCAGAGCTTTTATGATGTAAGCTTGCATTGCTTTCTTGTGATCTTCTTTGTAGTAATGCCTGGCGTGTTTGCAGGATTTGGACATTACTTTGTACCAATCTTTCAAGGATCTCCAGAAGCGGTGTATCCCAGAGTCGATAATGTTTCTATCATAATGATTTTACTTTCTTATCTTTTTCTATTCATTTCTTTAATTTCAGAATTTGGAGGTGGTACAGGATGGACATTACATCCGCCATTATCCACTGCTTTCATGACGTTATCACCCTGAAGTACGGGAAACGTTATATTCGGATTGTTAATCTCTGGTATATCTTCATGTCTTACATCTCTTAGCTTTTGGACAACAGTTCTAAGTCTGAGATCTTATTGTCTTATATTAAAGACTATCCCATTATGTCCTTGCTCTTTCTTGAGTATAGCTTACAGCTTTCACAATTTCATTAACATTACATATCTTATCTGGTACAGTTCTTTTAATGCTGGGTGAGCTTCATTCTAATACACTTTTCTTTGATCCAATATTTGGAGGAGATCCTGTAATCTCTCAACATTTATTTTGTTGTTTTAGACATCCAGAAGTTTACATCTTAATAATTCCTGGACTTTGGAGGGAAACCAAAAGCATCCCCACCATTTTGGGGGGGCCCAAAAGAAGTCACGCCATTTTTTTTGGATTTGTTGGTCTTGACGGCACGCGTGGACCCGCAAAGTGGTTTGCGAGAGGAGCATGACACGTGCTCAACACATGAGGCACAATCGATCTTATTGCCCTGACAGGCACAAGCATGTGGTAAGATTTCATCCCCCCCCTTTGTAATATGATGAGTGGATTTGCCCCACGTCATGCCGTTGCTCATCGCTCATATTGAGTATAGTATAGCTCACGACTTGCCAGGTGTCGGCACTATTTGCTATGCCCCAAACTGTATTTCTCACCCTTCCCCCTATGGCATTCTGGCTGATACAGCCCTTGGTTCCGCGCCAGGCTACCTCAACTTTATGGGCCGGGGCCCCTGGCAGCTGTGGAAGAAACGCCCCAAAGCCACCAAGATCATTGTTACTTGCGGGGGTTGAATCGGTTTGGAGAAAATGCGATCACTGTGAGCCAACAGCGCATCGAAATCGAATCACATTGTGTTGCTCAGCCCTCGCACTGGCCTGAATCCGGATACTTGGTTTGGTTGGTGGTAGGAGTTTCCAGGGCAACAGCCGCGCCAAGGCAACGAGTTCGGGCACCCCGAGTGGGTGGACTTCCCCCGTGAAGGCAGGGTGCTTGCGCGGTACACCGGTTCGCGTTCGGTGGGGATTTCCGAAGAACGGGGTGCCTCGCAGGAAACAGCTGGTGCTTTGCACACTGCCGGCGCCGATTTGATCTGGCAGACAGTGGACTTCTGCGGCAACTTGACTGGAAAGTAGCATCCCACCAATGAAGTGGATCAATACCAGCCCAAGACTTTAGCTTCAGGCACTTCTTACTTATTTACTTTGGCGGGAAGAGGGAATGGAAACAATCTCTGCAGACTTTGAATTTGGCGCTGTTTCCCTTCTTGTCAACAACCCTCAGCGCAGCAGGGCGCGAGGAATTCGGTGTCAATAGTTTGGGGCTTTGAAGCCACAACGACCACTGTGACAACATGCCATGGCCAAGGTACAGATTCCTGCTGAAATGGGATGTGGCGTTGCATGCGCTCGAGGAGCCTGCCGACTTACCGATCTGCTTGCATGATGTCAAAGCATCACACAAGGTTCTCGACAGCGATGAACGGCCAAACAAAATTTGTTTGGCCAATGACAGTAATGAAGCGCGCAGTCTGTTCTGAGAGTTTCCAGTTCAGGATCTTCACTTCACTGTTCTTGTAGTGTTGTTAGGTTGTTGCTTCTTTGGTTCTGGGTGGGGTGATGGGTTGGGGGACGACAAAGAACAGACAGTTGGTTGCTCATTGGTCCAGCCTTTTCCTCAGGAGGCAAGCGGCTTCGCCAGCGATGAACACCTTTTAGTGTCCAGCCAGCACGAGGAGAGGTTTCTGGACCTCACAGAAAATGCTCAGCTGGGCGACTGAAAGGCCACTCTACTGCAAAACGACCCCGAAGGAAAATTCAGTTCGTCTTTGGTTGCTTAAGGTTAGCCACAATCACGACCTGGGTGGATGAGGTTTACTAGGGCCAGTTTCCAGCCACAAATGGGCGCCGCCCATGTTATTGTTTGCATGTTTTTTTGTTGGACACCTTCAATAGGTTTTGAGTATGTCTCAGCTAAGGCTTCACGGGTGCACGCTTCTTAGGCCTCAAAATTCACAGGGAGTAGGGCCACAAGCATTTTGAGATGAGTCGTGGTCAAGCACGCCACTTTTGGTCATAGAGACAA